CCCTTCTGAATGGAGTAGAGGGCATGACTCACCAGCCTGAACACCAGAATCCCTGGACAGAAGGCCAGAGGTGGCTGCAGCAGACCAGCTGTGTCCATCTGGGGTTGGCCTGCAAGTCCCCAAAGGGCTTGGAAAAAAGGAGGCTGCAACTGTTTGTATCGCCCAGCGGAGGTAACGTGGGCCTTGAAGGTGGACAGGTGGGGCTGAATCCTCACCCCGCTTGTGTTCAGGTGTGTCGTTTGACCCCCTCAAGGACTTGAGATTTGTGGTGGAGTTTAGCCATAATAAGCCTAAAACGCACTCTCAGCTCGTGGCCCGCAGGACGTGTTCCCAGGTGCCATGTGCCTTGGTCCATGGTAGCCCAGTCAGAGAGGCACTGGGTCACCAGCAGTGGAAGCTGCTAAGTCAGGGAACAGTGCATGCATGCTGTTCCTCAGGGATCTTGGATCTTCTCCTTTCAGCGTGTGCTGCCTACGGGGGTTTGGAAGTTGATGGCCTGGGCCTCGAGGCTGCCCTGCCCGTTTCCCTGGAGCCTTCAGGAACAGCCAGCATCAGACCAGCAGGCCTCCCTGTGCTGCATGGCATGTGGTGCTGCTGGTGTGAGCAGACCCGTGATCGCTTCTGGTACCACTGGCCACCTAGGCCGCCCCCTGGGTTCAGGTGCAGGCCTTTGCTGGAGTTTGTCTCGAGTGTGCCCAGTGGACACCCAGCGACCTCCAAGTGGGAGTCCCCATTGGCGTCCACCATAGTTTGCCAGTTGGAGCAGGCAGAAGCCCAGGTGGTCCTGGCCACCACCCCTCATTTGACAGTGGAGGGAGGAGGCTGGGGGCCATGTCTCCAGGTGCTGAGACCATGTCTGTCAATATGACTAGCCTCAGCAGGTGGGATTTCCAGAGGGGCCCATGGCATTTAGGGTTCCCCTCAGCCTGCCCCGCTCTGAACCTGACTGGAGTAAGGGCGAGAGCCAGTGAGAGCTGGTGGCAGGCTTCATTCCAGTAGGTTCTTAGAGGTGACAGGGCTGGATGTGCTTTGAGTGTTTCAAATAAGGTGTATCTGCTTCACAGTAAATACCTGAGAGCTTTTGTGTAGGCGAATAAAACCTTTACTTTGCTCTAGACTCAGATCCCCATTCCAAGTAGGCCCTCTCCCCAGCCAAACAACACGTAGTGACAGCCACGTTGGTGGATATTGAGATACACAAGCAGTTTTATTACATTTTAGAACTCTTTGGAAAATTCGCTTTTCTTAAACCTTCTTGTAATGATTTTAGTTTTATCATGTTTCATTAAAATGTTGCTGGGCCTTCAAGTTGGGAGTTTGTGACGGGGAGGATGATCACTTGACAGTGTGCAGGACACCCCAAAAATCAGAGACTCCTGCAGCCCTTGGAGATGCAGCCTGGCCGGAGCCTTTATTTCCCCTTGGAAACCTGATGGGGATCACACTGGCCAGTGGGCACCTTGCCCACAGGTGCCCCATGTGGAAAAGTCTGCACGAAGGATCAAGACTGTTAGCCTTGGGATGGAGGAGCTGATGGGTGAGAGCCACAGCCGGCTCAGGCAGCAGACGCTAACCCAGACACTAACCAGACACTAACCACTGAGGGTGCACCCTCCAGTGCCAGCAGACACGCTTATGACCTTGACTGACCATCGGCTATTAGGCAGCATCGGCCAAGTGCCATTAGAATATACCTGAGTCGTCAAGTGGGTGTTAGGTCACTGGGGACTGCTCCTCCCTCTGTCCTAACATCTTACCAGGCAGGAACCCTGCCCCACCACCTGCACAGGGGCTGGTGGGACTTACACGGTTCTTGTCTTGGTGCCTGTTTTTGTTAATGGCTGTAGACAGGTGGCCTGTGGGGAGTTACCCACGTGTGTACAAGTGAATCGCTCTGTTGTTGACAAGAAGGACGTAGTCCTTCTGCTGGAGGCGAGAGACACCATGAGAACCCAGGTGGCTGGAAGCCTGGTTCTATGATGACAGCCAGGCTGCATGGGGACATGCACTTGAGGCCAGCTCTCCCAGCATCATGTAGAAAAATCTGGGCTTTTAGCCCCTTGGCCTACTTGTCCAGTGTATAAAGTCTCATTCTCAGTGCCCTGGGGGGATGAGTGACATTGCAAGAAAGAATCTTTCAGGTAACGTGCTTGGCAGTTACCAAGCCAATTAAATGCTTCACTAGGTGGCCCACAGGGAGCGTGTGGTCCAGAGGGTGGGCAGCCCAGCACACCAGTGTGTGTGGGTGCTGCTTGTTGTCAGTCAGGCGCCACTGGGGCTGCTCTGGTGTGGATTTTCTTCTGGAGTGGTGCACCCCTCCCACTTCCTCTCCCTCGTTACCCTAAATGGGCTCTCACGCCCTCACCATTGTCATGGCCCCTGTCCCCAAGCCCCTGGAGGATACAGGCCTTGCCATGTGTGGATGGCAGACACACACGATGCTGGAGTTAGCCCGGGCTGACCTCTGCTTGGAGGTCTGGGCAGGGAGACCTGGGGGCACAAGAGCCAAGCCCTGTGTGCTCTCTCCTCTCGGCTTTGCACCTGCTGTTCCCTCCGCTGGCAGCACCCCACCTTCCTTGTGTGGATGATCAGGTGATGTCAATAGAGACCTTGTAAATGATGCCAGGCAGGGGTGCTTGGCAACCTATCATTGCCTTTGTTATGGTGTTCTTGTGCCTGCTACTGTGTTCCTTCCACCCACTTTATGTCACTCACACATGGTTGACAGACAGGAACCTCTCTCCTGGTTTTTCAGGAATCCTGTGTGTGTTCAGGTGATATTGCTCAAAGCCAGGTCTTCAGAAAAGGTCTTCTGTGACCCTGAGGGCAGATCACAACCTTGCAGCAGGATTGTTTCCAGCCCGTGGGACTTAGCATTTTAGGTGTGCAGCTGTGAGTGTTAACATTCCACCCAGGAAGTTCTCTAGAGCTCGGTAGCCACTCCCTGCGCCCACCCCGGCCCCAGGCACACACTGATCTCCTTTCTGGCTCTGGAGTTTTGCTTTTTCTGGAAACTTACATAAGTGGAATCACATAACACGTGGTGTCACATTTTGGGCTCCTCTCCCTTAGCCAGCAGCTTCGAGGTTTGTCCATGTTGTGTCCATCAGGAGTTTGTTTCTTTTTATTTCTCGGTAGTATTGTGTTGTTTCTCTGTCCACCAGTTGATGGGCATTTGGGTAGTTGCTCCTTTTTGAATGCTAAGAGTAACTCTGCTCTACACATTTGTGTGTAAGTTCTTGTGTAGATGCAGGTTTTCATTTCTCTTGGGTCTATCCCTAGGAGTGGAATTGCTGGGTCATTTGATAACTCTGTGTTTAACCTTTTAAGAAACCGCCAGACTGTTTTCCACAACGATACACTCCCACCGTCGAGGGATGAGGTTCTGGGGTATTGTCAGTCTCTCTTATTTTAACCGTTCTGAGAGGTGTGCGGTGTCTCCCCATGCAGTTTGCACTTCACTGAGGAGTGATGGTGCCGAGCAGCTTCTCGCCTGTCCCTTGGCCACCTGCAGGTCTCCTTTCTCGTCTCTGTAACCTGATTCCAAGTAAAGGCCGCTTAAACATTGTCTCCAAGGGCCCAGCCAGGCCGAGTCCCTGACTGGTGCTGCGCTGCACGTTCTCTGAATGGCAGCCCAGATGCTGCTCAGGTTGTGGTCTGTGGGATGGGCCAGCTGGTCCTGAGCCTGTCCCCATCTCAGCAACACGATGGCCCTTGTGCCTGCAGGGGCTGGTTCCCAGTCCTGGAGGAGGACCAGGGGCTGGAGGACATCACCTGTCTGCTGGCCTGGTGGTAGGGGGTGCTGTGCTTTGGAAGTGTGGGTGGTTTCTGGGGTGTCACAGCCCAGGGCGTAAGTGCTGGTGCTCAGTGTGACCTCTCAGGTCTGTTCCAGATGGTAGAGTTTTGTGAGATTCTTGGCAGAAGGGGGCTCCTGATAAACAAAGGGAGATTAGTGTGTGGCCTGCATGGTCCAAGTTGGCTGAGCTGTGTCTTTCGCACATACCCACAGCCCTGATGGGCCCACGGGCACCAAGAGGCCAGCTTGCCCCGTGGTTGGTTCTCCCCATGCGATGGAGCCACTCCACCTACCCAGGGCTGTGGTGGGCCTGACATTCTGGGTGGGGAGCACGTCAGTAGCCACTGCAGTCACCCCGGGAGGGGCATGTGGCAGCCAGGCAGGAGAGCCTCCCCTTGCTCCAGGTGAGGCCAGAGTGGAGGCCTGAGTGGTGGACTCCAATGGAGGTGGGAGGGCCTGGATCCCAGCTGCTGTGAGGAGGAGGCTGGGGGGGGCCAGTAGGTGCAGAAGTGGATTTGGGGACTGAGGGAGGGGGTCGTGGTGACAAACCAAGACCACACTGTGAGGTGGTATCTGCTACACAGAAGGTGGGCGCTCCGGGCCCAAGATGGGTGAGAAAGAGAAGTGTGACCCTCCGTCTGGATCCACATTCTTTCTAAAATTCTGCCAGAAGGCTGATCTCTGAATAGCTGAAGCTTAAAGTATTTTGAGTTTTTTAGTATATTTTTTCTTGTGACATTTGGAAATTCTGCTGCCCTAAGCCCAGTGACAAACTGCTCTGAAGCTGTGACGTGGGAGCTTCTGGGCAGGCGCTGGGCTCTGTCCTGCCAGGGTATTGAGGTGGTGGTGGGGCCTCCTGGCCCATGGTGCTCATCCATCCCACTTGTGTTCGGAGGCGGTGTCTGAGGCATGATAGCCTGGGCTGATGTTGGCTTTGGGAGAACAGTGAGGGCTACCCATTGCCTCTGTCTTTTCTCTTGCCTCTCAGGTACCCCCGGCGCCAGCCCTGTGCCATCCAGGGAACTCCTGTTGATCCTTCAAAACCCTGCTCCAGTGACCTTTCCTGTAATTTTCAGACATGTGTGTGCTTTCTCTCACCTCTCCTGAGAACACTGTCCTTATCCTGTTCCTTATGTAACTGGGAAGTAAGTCTTTGGATTTCCAGATATCTTGATTGACATTTTCCCATTTTGCTTTTTTCTAGGATTCTGTTTCGCTGAGACCATCAATTCGATTTCAGGGAAGTCAAGGGGTGAGTTTTTTTTGTCTTAATCATATTTGGAATTGTGGAACTGGTGTCCTCTCTGGCCTATCATGGCTTGCTAAGCACAGCAGCAGGCTGGGGACAGTGTTTTGGCCCCATCTACCTCTGTGTCAGGCCAGGTCCTGTGCCAAGCGCAGGTCTGCCTCTGGATGCCCCCAGGCTCGTCCCATGGCTGGGGCCGCACCAACAGGCTGTCTGTGGGCTGAGGGCAGCTCTCCTGTCCAGTGGCCCCTCAGAGTCCATCCCTTCCTTCCCGTGGCCAATGCACACCTGAGCCCCAGGCCCCCAAACTCCATTCTGACCTGATCTCTGCGCTGATTTGGAACTCTGGCCCCAGAGCCCAAGTGGGCCTCGAGCTGTGGCCTCCCTGGGGTGTGGCATTGGTCTCCCTCTGTGGACCCAGGACGATGGTACTTGGGGGGGTTATAGAAACTCAGCACCTCCAGTTTTTCTGAAGTGTATTTCATTCTAAATGACCATCTTACAGAAAAATTGGGGAATGAAAGAAAGGATGAGTTGTCCATAATCCTTGCTCCCCAGGACTTAAGACCCCTGTGTCCCCCAGCCACTAAACATGCCTTGGAACTCCTACTGATCCTCAGAACCATGCTCCAGTGATCTTTCCTGTAATTTTCAGATGTGTGTGTGTGTTTTCTCTCACCCTTCTTGAGAACACTGTCCATATCCTGTTCCTAGTTTTTATTGCAAGGCTTTTTTATTTTTCTGAAGAGTTGCCATGTGTGTCTAAGTCAGTTTTCACCTGACAGCTGGCTGGCCCCTTCCAGAAGAGGAATTCTGTGGGTTTCATCTCAGCCAGGGTGCTCCAGAGAGACTGAGGTACTTGTGTCTGCATGTGCAGATACAGAGATACTAAGAGATTTGTTGCAAGGCATTGGCTCACATGGTTGTGGGGCTAGTGAGTTTGAAATTTGTGGGGCAGGCAGGAGCCGCCATCACCATCTGCAAGCAAGCTTCTTCCTCCTCAGGGAAACCTCAGTTTCCCTCTTAAGGCCTTCAGCTGATTGGATGAGGCCCACCCAGACCATTGAGGGTCTCCTCCTTTACTTAAAGTCAGCTGGTCATGGATGTCATGACATCTACAGAACACCTGCACGGTGCACCCAGATTAGTATTCATGGCATCACGGGGGGCTTTGGCATGTCCAGGGGGACACTGAACCAACCATCACACCAATGCCTGTCAAGGTTGGCGAGCCGCCCCAAAAGGCCGTAGGCCTCCTGCCACCATTGTCTCCTCTGGGATGTCCGCACCTCCATCAGCCCCATCGGGGTCTTGTTACCCTTTTGCCACCTCCCCTTTATCTTCCCTGGGACATTTCCCAGGGATTGGAGGTCAGTGTTGGGGGTGGCGCTGGCCTGGCTTGCTGCCAGACTGGCCTCATGGCGCCCTCTAGGGCCCACAAGCCCTCAGCAGCAGGAAGACAGGGAAGGCAGTGCATAGAAAGGGCCTCATCCGTCAGTGCTTCCTTATCCCACGAGCAACACTTTCTGATCAGCAAGACACCACGCTGCCACTAACAGAAGCCATGGAAGCGTGTGAGCTTCTGGGCTGTGCCGTGTGTCGCCTGAGTTCCTGTGGAAAACCCGAGAGCTACATCCATTCCAGACTGACGGGTCCCACGACCTTAGTTTTAGGATCGTGCTTTGCCTGCTTTCCTTCCTCCTGGGCTTTCTCATGTGTGGTAGGGATTCTAGAAGGTACCTAAGCACAGAGGCCCTGTGCTTCAGCTCCAGGCAAGACAGGTCACAATTCTTCACCAGGAGGCTCTTCCCTGTGTGAGCCTGTGTGAGGCTGCAGGGGGCTGGGTGGTGAGGGGGCGCTGTTCCTGGTTTGCTGTGTAGGGTCAGACACTAGGTCTGCCCCTGTGACCTCTGGACCTTGTCCCCCTCCTGGGCACTGATGGGGTGCGTCCCCTCCTCCCTGCCAGGTGTGAAGGGCCTGGCCTGGTGCTGGGCATGTGGCAGTCACTATCCTGGCCAGGCCACGTCTGCATGGTCACTCAGACCAGTGACGGGGAGGAGGCAGGTACAGCAGCCCCCACTTTGGTCACTCTGCGGCCTGCTCACAGCCTGGCCTTGTGTTCCTGAGGGGGTGCCCTGCTCTATGTGCTCCACTTACAACATTGGAGATGGAGCAGGAAGCCGGTGGGGTGGGGCAGAGTAGGCTTATTAGGGGCACAGGCTGATTCCATGTTGAGGGCCCCATGTAAGACGATAGGGACCCGCTCCCCAGAGGCCCATGAAGTTGATGGACTAAAGATTGAGACCGCATCCGTAGGCTCCTTAGCTTGGGAACCTTGGACAGTTCTCTCTCTACCTCCTTACCCATGAAATGGGGACATTGTCCCCTTTGAGGGTCATGAACGTGCACTCAGCTCCTGGTGCCTGTCCCCTCAGATGTGAGAGTAGTGCAGCTGGCGTAGGATCAGGACATCACTCACCTCCTGGGTGGGGGTCAGATCTGGTCCCGCCTCCTCCTGCCTATTTTGGGAGCGCCATGAGAGCCAGGCCTTGGTGGTGTGCACCAGGCCCTGGTGTTGCCTGGTTCCCTGGAGCAATTCTCTAGCTTTTGCCAGGTTCCCCAGAGAGCCTGGTCCCACCTATAATGTGTTCAGCCTCTAGAGCGTGGTCTGCCAGAGCAGACGCTCACCTGTTTCTTTCCTGTGCACCTGTTTCTGGCGTGTCTCTGCCCTCTCTTGGACTCTGAGCTGGCCGGCCTGGGCCCCTGTGCTGTCGGGGTCATTTCTAAGTTGTTAACCCCTGACAGCTGGTGAAGCGTCAGCCTCTGGAGGGGAAAAGAAATCCCCATCCAGCCAGCCACACCCCACAATTCTTTAGTTGATGGAAAATGAAAGAGAAGTAGGGTTGGCATCCAGCCTTGTTCAGGATCTCAGCATTTCCTTGGGCTGCAGTGTGAGCCCGAAGTTCTTTCCAGGACGAGGTTTGGCAGCGCTGGTCACAGGCCTTTGAGCAATGTCTGTCTGGGCGTCTAGGAGCTGAGTAATTAGGGGTGTGACGAGGTTAAGCCACAAGGGTGCTTGTTGCTGTGTTGTTTGTAACAGGGACAATTTGGAAACCATCTAAAATGGAGGTTGTGGAGTCCAGAGCCATCCATGTGCCAAGGTTGAGCAGCCAGAGACCTTGGGACGCCGTGTGCAGGCGGGTGGGGTTGCTGGGCTCTCACTCTTCTGAGTGTCCACTGGGAGGCGAGCACGGCTTTCTGGAGGGAAGTAGGTGCTTAGAAAGTGCCCTGGGTTTGGGTTGAGGAAATGAGGCCTCTGACTGGGTGGAAGAGGCTGCTTTGCTCTTGGAAGTCATGTTCAGCCATACAGTAGTAACTCCCTTTATCCAGAATATATTTTGTTCTGAGGGTTCCCTGGAAAGTGAAAATAATGAGGAAAACATGCCCTGAAAACCCCTCTGGTCAGAGAGGCTGGTCAATTGGTGCTTGGGTTCCTGTGTGCACCTGTTTCATCTTTTTCCCTGATGGAATATCCAGGGCTCACCCCCACCCCCACTAGGAACTTGGTGTATCCTGTCAGCACTCCCACCTGCACCGCCCACACGCAAGGCCCTGTGGATCTAGGGGAGGGGGGAGGGCCCCACGTGGGACAGATTTCAGAGGGAGGAGGTGAAAGGCCTCTGGCAGGGATCTGACCTGCCTGCAGTGGAACCTGCAACCGCTCACAGGCCTCAGGCCTCAGAAGCACTCAGGACCATCCGGGATGGATGGGATGAGCCTGTGTACCGCTCTGGGCCCGTCTGTGCTCACGGACACAGGCTTAGCTTTGTAGCAAACTCCCCTGCCCTGTAGTAAGCTGGTGTCAGGGGTGATGTCAGACATTCCCAAACCTGCTGCACTCTGGCCAGCTGAGGGTCACCTGGCAGCCCCTGTGGGGCAGCTGAGACTCGGTCCAGAAGGCACATGCACCAGCCAAGTGGCCACATCCCAGAACACGTGCCAAGCTCTCTGCTGGTGTAGAGAAAGCAGTACATTCCTGGGCCATTCATACCCAGCTGGCTGGTTTCCCTGAGACTGGTAACCATTAATCAGCCTCACTATCCAGCAGTGAAACAGCCCGTTAACCAAGGGATTCCACAGTGGTGGAGTTGCCATGGAGCTTCAGAGGCACTGGGGCTGCAAGAACCTGCCATGCGAGGCTCCGAGCAAACCTCTCCCCCTGCACCCTCCTACAAATGTCTCCTCCCACCCCCCAGCCATCCTGAAGGACACTGGCCACAAGCATGGTCGCTGCTGCCTGGGCAGGCTCAGGTAGGGCCATCAGTGTCCTGGCAGCATGGGTGGGTCACTGTGTCAGGCCCACTGTGCCTCCATGTGCTCTGCCCTGGTCTCACCACCAGCTCTCTGCTGGGCTGCAGGGGGCGTCCTGGAGCTGTTACAGACAGGCCCCAGCACGCCTGCCCAGGGGCTTCCTGCATCCTTGTGTCCTCAGGCAGTTGTCCCCCTCATCTTGATCCAGTGTGTGCCAGGGCCTGTCACGGCTCTGGCCACATGGCTTCAGAGTTTAGTTTCATGGCTAGAGCTGGGGTGTACCCACCCTGCCTGCCTGCCCAGGTGCGTCGAGTCTGCCTCAGACAGAGCTATACAGGGGCTGGGATGGGTCACACCCAGGGTCCATGAGCACCATGGGCTCAGGCTGGATCTGCCTCCCCTCTTCTCAGGAGTGACAGCCCAGTGCCCTCGAGGAACCAGCGCCCTCGAGGCAGCACTGCCCACTGAGCTGATAGGGAAAGATGCGCCTGTGGAGGCTGGGTCCCCGCAGAGCTGGGATTGGTTAAGGGAGAGGATCAAGGACAGGGTGGAGGAAGAGCCCCCATGGCAGGGTTTCGGTTCCCTGAGAAGCTCCTTTTGATTATGCTCACTTTGTGGTGCATGGGCTTCCTGCTGCATTCCGGCAGCTGTGTCTGTGTGCACCCGGCTGTGAGTGTGAACCCCCAGGTGATCCTCACAGCCTGAGCCTCGACATCTGGGCGATATGTTTCCAGCTGCTTTATAATTGAGATCAAAAGTTACATCCAAGAAGGGACAAGTGGGCAGCACAGGGTGGCTATGAGTGCTGGATGAGGAGATGCTGCATGTAGGCAGGACAGGGCTCAGCTGCCCAGGGCCACCCACACAGCTCCAGCAGAGGCTGTGGATAGCGTGTGTGCACACATGTGTGTGTGCATGTGTGTTCGTGTATATACATGTGTATATGTGTGTGTGTTTTCCTGCCTGAGGTGAGCCATCGGAGGCAGTCTGGGGTTTGATTTTCCAGATGCTGGGTTGCCCAGTGTTTTGGCTGACTTGTGCCTGCTGCTTCCCCTGTAGGTCCGCATACTACCCTGAAGGGCAGGGTGAAGCAGCAGAGTACCCCTGAGCCCCAAGCCATTATGTCCTCAATCTCAGGGACAAGGCCCCGACAGGCTGAGCTGCCTGTGCTCACATGGGACAGCTGGGCAGGGGACAGGGGGATTCGGCCTTGGCCGTGTTCTGTCCGGTGCTGAGGAGGTATGTTGGTATCCTCACATCACTGGAGAGGAAGCGGGACTCTGCATGCTGAGGTGGCGAGGCAGCCTCTCCCTGCCACCACGCTGCCCCTCTTAGTGATCACGTGTGCCCCCTGCCTAGCTGTGACAAGCTCCTGCACTCAAACCCAGGGGTTACTTTATTACCCTGGTGACAGAGGGTTCTGGATGCCCTTCCTGTGCCCTGCACAGGGGCTGGCAGCCGGATCGTGGGGTCCTCCCACCCGCCTTCCTCAGCAGCCACCAGACCTTCACCCAGCGTAGGCAGCAGCCAGAGGGTCAGCCTGGAATGCAGTGGCCTTTGGGTGCGACGCTGTCTTGTCTGCACTGAGCCAGGCACCTTGGCTGGGAATAGTGCTGTCTTTCTGTCTGCTGGCCAGGCTGTCCATCGGTTCTCCCGGAGGGCCTGTGGTTTTGCCTAACTGGGCTGCAGAGGCAGCGTCCAAACATACGTGCCATGTCTCGATTTGTTGGGGGTGAGTGCTGCCCACCTGAGAGCCCCACGGGCCTTTGCCTATCTTGTTCACGGCCAGTGAGGCGAACGGACACTCAGGCGGAGTCTGTGTGCAGCATGGAGGAGGCGGAGAGGGCATCACTAAGGCAGAACGAGGATCAGGGCATCTTGCTGAGCACAGTTCCTCTTCCAGGGTGTCCCCAGCCAGATGTGCCCCATTTGGTGGGTGGGAAAACCAAGTCACAGCCCAGATCATGGTTGGGTACCTACCTCCAGGCATGTGCTGAGCGCTCTGTGTTCCTCAGACTGTGATGCCATTGCTGCTTAGAAAGCAGGCTTGGGCCCGCTCCCCCTCAGCACCTGAGGACCCTGAGTATAGCTGAGGGCAGGGGATGGGGCCACCCGGGCCGCTGGTCCTGTCACTGCCAGGAAAACAAACAGGTGTTTTAAAGGAGAGTGCTGACACTTTCCCACCAAAGGGTTATGCTGCAGGGATGGGCCAGGGTCCCCAGGTCCCCTCCGTAGCACCTCCCGGTGATGTCCCCTTCTCCACACAGCACATCTCCATCCCCCAACCCGACTGCCCCACGGAGGCGCGGACCTTCTCCTTCTACCTCTCCAACATCGGCCGCGACAGCCCCCAGGGCAGCTTTGACTGCATCCAGCAGTATGTGTCCAGGTGAGGCCCCATCCTGGCTGCCCCAGGTCTCCTGATGGGCAGACCCTCTGCCCCAGCCCTCTGTGCAGACGTTTGCACACCGCCTTTGGCCCCGGCAACCCTTTCTCTCCAATGAGCCTCGCTGCCCTTTTCAGTGTGTCCAGGGTGTGGGCAGGTCCTGGCATGTTGCCTCCAGCCCAGGGGCCCACATTCCATTGTTTCTTCCCGGGCAGGATATGCCCTGTGGAAACCATGTTGCCCCAGTCAGCACTGAGCCCCATTTCCCAGCTGGGGGTGGGGGACACAGGCCCCGAGACCGTCCCCAGCATCCGAGTTGTTCATCCCGACTCCTGGCCCTTGTCTTGCAGCCATGGGGATGTCCACCTGGACTGCCTGGGCAGCATCCAGGACAAAGTCACGGTGTGTGCCACTGATGACTCCTACCAGAAAGCGCGGCAGAGCATGGCGCAGGCTGAGGAGGAGACACGGAGCCGTGGCGCCATCGTCATCAAGCCCGGAGGCCGCTACCTGGGTGAGGATGGGGCCTGGGGCTCCACCGTGGAGCTCATGCCTGCCAGGCAGCTGTCAGGGGGGAGCAAGAGGGACTCAGGGCCTGGACTGGAGTCAGGAGTGATGGGTTGACATAAGTGTGGTTCCTGAGCAGAACCAGCAGGATCAGTGTTGGGTCAAGAAGAAAGGTGCTGCTGCGCCAGCCGTGTCGGCTGGGGGCTGTGGTATCTGCTGTCTTCCGAGCCCCAAGGTGGACTAAGGGGCCCCAGAACTCCAGGAATTCTGAATCCGAGGGCCCCTCTCCCAGGGTGCTGCCTTGGGGACCTCTGCCTGTCAGGGACAAATGGGCTCCATGAAGACAAGGCTGCTGTCTGTCTGTCTTCTGGCTGCCACCCCTGCCCTCATCTGCCCAGCTGGCTCCTCTGCAAGGCCCATGTGGCCAGGGGCAAAGTGCAGACAGCGAGATGCACCCCATGGCGGGCGGCCTGCTGCTGTATGACAACCAGGAAGGAAATGTGTGGATTCTCTGCTCAGCGGGAAGCCTCTGGCAGCTCAGCATGTGCTTGGAAACAATTTTGGTGAAGTTGAGACACTGAAAACATTAAAAGTGGAGGGAACAGTACTGTTTATTTAGAAAGCTCCGTCATCCTGCTGCAGTCTTCCCGCCTCCTGGACCCCGACAAGTTTAAGAGTCATCAGAACTCACCGCCGGGGAAGAAGGGCGTCAGGCCTGAGAGGGGTGTGAAACGGCTTCCAGCAAACCAGAACCTTGATGGCTCTTTGGGTTTTTTGTTTTTTAAGAAAAGGTGGGAATGGGGCTGGCCTGGTGGTGCAGCAGTTAAGTTTGCGCACTCTGGGCCTGGGGTTCGCTGGTTTGGATCCCAGGCATGGACCTAGCACCGCTTGTCAAACCATGCTGAGGCAGGTGTCCCCCATATAGAGTAGAGGGTGATGGGCACAGATGTTAGTTCAGGGCCAGTCTTCCTTAGCAAAAAGAGGAGGCTTGGCTGCAGATGTTAGCTCAGGGCTAATCCTCCTCAAAAAAAGAAGAAAAAGAAAGAAAAGGCAGGAGGATTTCAAACTCCCCCAAAGCAGCATGTGATTTCACTTGCTTAGCAGTGGCATTGGCTCTGAATGAAACCCCAGACATCAGCGCAGGCATCAGTCGTGCCAGTCAGTGCTGGGTCCCCATGGATGTGGCCGTGTGTGCCCAGGGCCAGGGCCCTGGGCCATGAGCCGCCACTGGGTAGAGAGCCACCTGCCTGAGTCTAAAAATGCTTCTCGCCCTCCTGTTCTCACCTAAAGATGCGACTGTGGATATTCATACGCATAATCAGTGTGTGGGTCCTTCGGCCAAACACTTGTTCAGAAATTTGTCTTGTACTACTTTGGGTACAATGAGAGTTTTTGCAGCAATTTAGGTTCTTTTAGAAACACTCATCTACTGGCCTCTGAAGCCGCAGCCATGCATATCGGCTGTCAGGCCTCTTGCCTACCAGCCGGGTCCTCTGGGGATGAAGTCTGACTATAAGGATTCTAAAAGCACTTCTTCCTGTGCTAATTTGAGAAATCAGATATCAAGGATAAGAGCAAAAGGAAGTTGTCATGGAGAGAGCTTTTTGGCTGAAGGACTCAAGGCGAGTGCTGACTTTGCTCATGTTCCCAGGTGGTGGACGCCATTCCAGGTGGGGTTAACAACTCTGAGGGGAGGTGCCCTCCCTGGAGAGCAGTGCTGGGGGCTCACCAAGGGGCGGCCCAGGGCTCCAAGCACAGGGACCTCTGCCTGAGGAGTGCCTCCGGCTGCAGCTAGGGAGCTGCTCACACCCCAGGGTCTCTAGAGCAGCTGCTCAAGCTGCCCTGCTGCCTTCGTGCACACCTCCCTTTTCCTCAAAGAACACAGTGGATCCCCTGGGGCCAACTTGGTGCCGTGACGTGCAGGCTCTGGAGGCGTCTGTCTCTGGCACTTCAGGAATCCTCCCCCCCTTTTGTTTTTTAAAGATTTTATTTTTTATTTTTCCTTTTTCTCCCAAAGCCCCCCTGGTACATAGTTGTGTACTTTTAGTTGTGGGTCCTTCTAGTTGTGGCATGCAGGATACCGCTTCAGCATGGCTTGATGAATGGTACCATGTCCGCGCCCAGGATTCGAACTGTTGAAACCCTGGGCCGCCGAAGCAGAGCGTGCGAACTTAACCACTGGGCCATGGGGCCAGCCCCTTTTTTAAAAAATATTTTATTTTTTATTAGGAACAACCCCCCCCCCCCCTTTTAATGTCAGCCTCCTCCCCATAGTGGTCCGGCATTTTGGGTCCCCAGCATTTAGGCTGCCCGTGATGAAGTCAGTTAAGGCTATAAATGCACTTCTACTTACTGCAGCTCCCACTTCTGAGACTGGGGGCCCTGCAGGTGTCTAGTGAACTGTGGGTGCTCAGCAGGTGGTATGCTCGGCCACCCAGGGTCCCCATCAAGCAGGCTGTGCTGGATGCAGCTCAAACCATCTTCCCCTTGGGCTTGACAGGGGCGTGGGACTGTTAGCCGTCACTTTCCATGTCTCAAGCCTGTGGGCGTCCATGTGTCTGCTTACTTGGGAACTCGGTGTTGTCCAGGTGGTGGAACACCTCAGCCACCCTTTCACCCGCTTAAGTCCCTGATGCCCTGGCTCTCGTTTTACAGGCAAGAAGGTTCAGTTTCGGAAACCAGCCCCAGGGGCGACAGATGCCGTGCCCTCCAGGAAGCGGGCCACCCCCATCAACCCGGCAAGTGCCATCAAGAAGAGCAGCGTTAGTGGTGTTAGTGGGGTGTCTCAGAGGCCCTTCCGTGATCGGGTACTACACCTCCTGGCGCTGAGGCCCTACCGGAAGGCTGAGCTGCTGCTGCGGCTGCAGAAGGACGGCCTGACCCAGGCAGACAAGGATGCACTGGATGGCCTCCTCCAGCAGGTGCGTGCTTTCCCAGGGCTTGAGGGTGGGGTCTAGTGGCCTGCAAGTGGCTGCTGTAGACGCTCTGGACAAGAGTGGGTGGGGAGCCTGGTGCTCACTGTCTGGAGGCCCAGGGGTGGGCCCAAGACCTTCCTCCTTTCCATCTGCTAATACGCAGGCACAGCATGGGGATCTAAGACGAGGTTTTTAGAATCAAGTGAAGCCAAGGGCACCCATATGTGAGTTAGTGAGAGCTCAGCCTCGGCGTCAACAGTCAGGTGGACCCCTGCTGCTCACTGGCTGTAGCTCTGGGAAGGGGCTTCACATCTGGACCCACCGGCTTCCGCCTGTGACTGGGGCCTGACTGCAGCACCTCTCGTGGGGACAAGGGCTAAATGGGAAGCAGAAAAGATGGAGCTGCACGGATGTAGATCTGGGCCGGGGCCCAGCCCCACCCCTAGATAGATGCCTGGGGTCGTGGGATGGTGCCTCCTCCATCCCCCTACCTAGGGAAACTCCTGTGTCCCGTGGGCTGAGGTGCTCGCTGGCCCCTCACGTCACTAGGACCTTGGGGCCTTCCATGTCTGCTCACTAGGTGCCTCCACGCAGATTTGGCCTCTTGGGCTGCCATCCCCCCGTGTGGAGGTTGTGTTGGTGAGGGCCGAGCATCGACGCTTCTCCCAGTGAGCTCAGGAGTTGGCTTGGGGCCTATTAGAAGATAGATATGTGGCTTCATGGCCCAGAAATTTTTTTGGCAAAGAGGCTTGCTAAAGCATCCAGAAAGCTCCAGAACCAGGAACGACATTCCCGGGGGGCTCATTTCCTTGGAAAGTCACACGTGTCAGCCTTGTCCTCAGGAATTCGAGGGAGGTACATGGGAGGCACTTCCCCTGGGCCAGGCACTGCCCAGAGCCTCCCTCTGCAGCATGGGGAAACCAAGGCAGGGCTGAGGGAGCTTGACAGAGTTGTCAGACATGAGTCAGGACTGAAGACACGGGTGGGACCCGCACCCACCCCTGGATGTGCCTGCAGCCCGCACTGCTGTCCAGCTGGGCCCTCAGCCCCCCTGTGTGGCATTCTTAGAGATGCCCTCCCTCCTGTCCTCCTTGCTTGCCCTATTTGTGCCCAGAATGAAGATGAAACACATGAACCCCTCAGACACAGAATGTGAAACTTAGAGCTGACCAAGCACGTGGTTATGCCTTTATTTACCCCTGAGTGGTCTCAGATGTGGCAGGAACACTGGGCTCAGTTCCCTGGAGAGTGAGGATCCAGGGGTACTGATACAGGTTTTGCCTGGGCTCCCTGCTCTGATTTTTAACCCACTAGATGCTCTTGCTGCTCCCAGCCCTTTCCCAGGACCAGAGAGGCACTGTGCTGGGCTCTGGCTTCTCCGCTCAGCTTGGGTTTGGCAGCCTCCTAGGGGACAGTGCAGCTGGCAGCTGTAGGCAGAGTGTCCTCCCTGTGCCTGCTTTCATTTCTCCCAGGCAGTCCCATCTGCCTCGTGCTTCTGTGTTGACTACCCAACTTGTTCTCCCCGGTGATTGTGGGGGGCGGCAGGACCCCAATAGCTTGGAGAAGGGGAAGGTCTCGGGCTGCGCCTCACCCAGGCTGGTCATTTCTAGCCTCCCCCAGTGACCAGGGACTCTGATGAAACCACAGTCCTCCAAGGCACCTTTTCTCCTCCTTGTGTGAAAACGTGCAAAGCCAAGCATTCAGACATCTGTCCCTGGGCCTGGCTGGGCCTCAGAGACACCCGCAGGCTTGTCCTCCGTGGGTGGGAGTGTTGATGGGTGGGTGGCTCTCCTGGAGAGCGTTTTAGCAAAACATACCAAGAGCCATAAAAATGTTCAGAGCCTTTGACCCACTTCTGGGAAGCTGGCCGAAGAAAACTGTCGCCAGCATGGAAAAGCCTGCACGCAGTGACATCTGTTTATGCTTCAGAGAAACTGTAATCGGCAACAGCGTCCAACAAAGGAGAAGCGTTCGAGTAAATCCCCACATAGCCACTCAGTGGAGTATTACTCATCCATTAGAAAGTGCTCCCTGTGGAGGCTGCTGTGACGTGGAGTCCCCTTAGAACCCAGTGATCGTGAAAACAGTGGCTGCTGTGCCAGCCACACAGCTGCACAAGCAAGTGCTGGACCAGGGTGCTTGGGGAGGCGGGGAGGTGCCGGCTTCAGGGTGGGAGCTGAGCTCCTTCAAGCACCCTGAGGGCAGAGGCTTTTTACATCCATCTTTGCAAACAGTCTTGGAGACAAGCTCAGCCTTTGTTAACCAACAGGAACAGGGCTGGCTGGTCACAGGGAAGGTGGGCTCAGCCTACAGCACCCTTCACCCAGCACCTCCAGCCTCAGCTGACTGCCGTAGGAGCGGCAGCTCTGAGATGGGACGTCTTAGTTCGTTGGGGCTGCTGTGACGGAATACCATAGACTACGTGGCTGATAAATGGCAGGTGTTTACTCATCACAGTTCCTGGAGACTGGGAAGTCCAAGATCAAGGCACCGCCAGATTGGATGTCTAGTGAGACGTCCAATCCTGGTTCATAGGATGGCATCTTTTTGCTGTGTTACCGTGTGGCGAGGGGGTGAGGGAACTCTCTGGAGCCTCTTTTATAAGGGGACTAATCCTTCTCAAAGGCTCCCCCTCCTAATACACTCATGTTGGGGCTTAAGATGTAACATGAGGGTCCGGCTCCGTGGCCGAGTGGTTGAATTCGCGCACTCTGCTGCGGTGGCCCAGGGTTCGGATCCTGGGCGCGGACATGGCACCGCTCATCAGGCCACATTGAGGCGGTGGCCCACATCCCACAACTAGAAGAACCTGCAACTAAGACATACAACTGTGTACAGGGGGGCTTTGGGGTGATAAAGCAGAAAAAAAAAAAAAAAGATTGGCAACAGTTGTTAGCCCAGGTGCCAATCTTTAAAAAAAAAAAAAGGATGTAACATGAATTTTGGGATGACAGAAACCTTCAATCTGTAGCAGTAGGAGGCTGTGATGGGGTCTTGGGAATACAGTGGTAGCCCCTCTTTTTGGAGCCAACCTGGCCTCCAGCACCTGTAAGATGTGTGCGTCTGGACCAGCTACCCTGGCTTTTCCCAGGGTCACTGCCCTGGTGTGCAAGGGACCTGGGGGGTGGGGTGCTGTCCTCTTTCTCCTTCCATGTCTCCCTGTGTGCCTCTGTGTCTCTTCTCCCCTCCCCCTATCAAATGCTTTCAGGAACGTCTGCCTCTCCCGGGCTTCCTGCAAGGTGATGCTGGCTCTGTCTTGCAGGTGGCCAACGTGAATGCCAAGGACAGCACATGCACACTGAAGGACTGTGTGTATAAGGACGTGCAGAAGGACTGGCCTGGCTACTCGGAGGGGGACCAGCAGCTACTGAAGCGAATGCTCATCCGGTAACCTCGCCTCCCCATCTTCTGTCTCTGGGCGTGTCCCCCACCCCTGGGCCTGGGGCAGACCTCATCCCAAGGACCCTGGGGTGGCCTCATCTGGTCCCGAAGGCCGTGGGGCCTGCGAGCAGGATGAAGGGGTCTGTGGAGACAGGCCATCTTCCCCACTGCCTGGGTGGCCCACTGGGAGTTGGTGGGGTAGAGGGTGTGAACACCAGAATGCTGGGACAGAAGGCCTCAGTCCACCCAGACCACTTGCACTGCTTCTTCCTAGCAAGCTTCTACCCCAGACGGTGCCTCCCTACAGGCTTCTGCTGAAGGCCTCTGCCTTCTTAGAAAGAACTTCTCAAGAATGTGAAGCAGAGAAAAACAAAGCAAAATAAAACTCCCCCCAGACGTGATTAAGCAGCGTTTATTAAACGTGTCCCCTCTCAGATGAATTGTGACCTGAGGTCAGGAGGGGCCTCAGTGGCTCTGGGGAGAAGTGATTAAGTAGGCACCTGGCTCAGGCAAGCAATTAATGATTTCCCTCCCTGCCGATGCCTGCCTGGGGCGTACTGGCTCTGAAGTGCAGCCTGTTCAGAGCAGGCTGATAGGCTAATTAGTCCTTAAGTGATTTCTCAGGGCCTTGGAGCTATTTATGAAGGTTATTTTTTTAAGTTCAGCTGTTTAAAGCAGTAATTGCATCTGGAAAGTATAGCTAAATTGAGCCACTCAAGCTGAACCTCAAGTTCCTCCTCGTCCCTGTGAGTGCTCACCTGCTGGCCCGAGGTGACTCCTCTGGCTGGCCATTTCTGGGTGTTTGGGGAGGCTGACAGGAGATGGTCTCGGCAGAAGACTCCCCTTCCCCAGTGTCCCCTCCCTGGGGTCTTCTGTTGCCCAGCTAAACATTTCTCAGGTGGGCATGGTCACCTCCTACAGGTGTTTTCATCCATCACACATTTTTTGGCAAAGGTTCCAGTGTTGAAATGATCTACTGCACCCACCCAGGTGCTCTGAGGTGGCGAGGGGCACTCCAGGGGCCTGGAGAGGCTGCTCCCATCCTTCCTTCCTCAGCCTCTCACTAAGTGCCCCTTGATCTCAGACCCCAAGTGAGCAGCCGTTGTGCATGTTTGTGTGTGGTGGGGGGTGGGGGAGTGTTAGGAAACAGCGCCTGGGCTGAAGGTTGAGGGGTGTCGGGTGGGTGGTTCCTGGAGCCATGTGCTCGGGAGCTCAGTGCAGTTCCAGGCTCACATTTTCTCCCTTGCGCTCTGCTGAGTGAGCTGCTGGGCTCGTGCAAGCCTGAGGGCACTTGGGCCAGCGCTGTGCTCCTCTTTGTCGGCCTTGCTGGAAACCACTCAGGATGCTGGCAGTACTTCTGCCCTTGGAATCTCCAAGTGGTTGGTGTGCCGAGGTCAGAGTCAACATCCCTGACGCCACACCCACACAGAAGGTCACCCTCAGCGCAGTCTGCACAGCTTTTCTTCTTGTTTTGGTTGCTTCCTCCCTGAAGACAGCCCCATTTAGAGCAGTTCTGGAAGCTGCAGCCTCACGGCAAGAAGGACAAACGGGGCCTTGGGGTGTTGCCATTGTTACAGGCGGGCTTAGGGACCACTGTCACCCCAGGAGCTGTGCTGCCTCCTTTCCCTCCTCCTAGTTCTAAGCTCATCCCTGAGTGAAACGCACCCATGCTCCCAGGCTCTGCCGGGCCTGTGGCTTCACTCTGGGCAGACACCCACTCCATTGTCAGCCGAGTTTCTTTTGGTGCTTCCTCAGCACTTCTAGTCCCCACTGTGTAGCTGCTCAGGCCTGGCCCAGCCCAGGCAGTGTCTGTGGGCATCCCATTGCAGGGTGAGGCCTCAGTGACCATGCCTGGCCCCAGTCCCCCCGACCTGCCCGTGTCCAGGGCCCAGCCTGGACAGCCTGAGCGCAGTCTCCATCCAGCTCACACCCATCTTGCTTTCCCTGGAGTTGGTGGTAACCCTCTTGGCTGCGTGGTTGCTCTCTCTGCTCAGTGTCCTTTGTCCTTCACAGCTAACCCTGAGCTCCCCCTGGTTGTCCTACTGCCTCCTGTCACTTTGAATGGATGGGTGGGTCCTGCAGGTTCCACGGGAGCTGCTGCCCTCTCTTTCGTAGTGTCTCTCTGAGGAAAGTGCTTTGGGAGGTCCGCTGGCCACGTCTTGACGCCTGGGCGGCAGTCACACGGACCGGCAGTTGGCCAAGTCTAGACTTGCAGATCCAAAGGAACTTTTCCTCCACGTTGAAGCCTGGCCTCAGGGAAGTCCTGGAGGCTCCCAACCTGGCCTTGTGCGCCTCTGCACTGTCACAGGCTGGCCTGGCGGTGCTCCCGGGCAGTGCCGCAGCCCGCATGTCTGAGAACTCGCCCCATCCTTCCTGTTCCAGGCAGTCATGAAGAGGCCTTCACTGGCCTCCCTCGCGCTTCCTCTGATGCTGCCACTGGGGGCTGTGCTCCTGGGGCCGCTCACTGTTGACTTCCTGTCGTCATTTCTCTCTCACTCTTTTTTTGTATTTTTGGGAGATTTCTTCAGCTTCTCCCATTGTCTCTTTTTTGCCATTACTTCTAGTTCTCAAGCATCTTTCCTCTTGACTTTTTGTAGCATCGTATTCTTATTCCAATGGGAGTGATGCTGGTTTTAATCTACTCTCTCTAAAGATAGTTTTAAAAAATAGCAGCTTTATTGAGACCAATTCGTATAACAGAAATCTTTTAAGCCCTCACTCATTTAAAGTGAACAATTTAGTGGTATTTAGTACATTGACAATGTGTACAACCAGCACCTCTATTTACTTCTAGAAGATTCACCCCAAAACAAAACCCCACGTTAGCAGTCAGTCCCCATCCCCTGTCGCTCCAGGTCCTGACAACCACTAATCTGCTGCTGTCTCTATAGATTTGCCTCTCTGGGCGTGTCACATAAATGGGATTGTAGAGTACGTGGCCCTTTGTGTCAGGCTTCTCTCACTCAGCATGATACTGTCAAGATTCATCCACGCTGTAGCACGGGTCAGAGCTCCGTTCCCTTTTATGGCTGGGTAATAGTCCACCATGTGTGTTGGACCACGTTTTGTTTATTCTTTTGTCTGTTGATGGACACCTGGGTTGTTTTCACCTTTTGGCCGTGGTGACTAGTACAAGGATTTGTGTGGCTATAGATTTTCACTTCTCTCCCATACATACCAGGGAGTGGCATTGCTGAGCCACATGGTAATCCTGTGTGTAACTTTGAAGAACGGCCAGACTCTCTTCATCGGCAGCTGCAGCATTTTACATTCCCACCAGCAGTGCGCAAAAGTTCCCGTTTGTTCACATCCTCACCAACACTTGTTGTTTTTCTTTTTTTTCTTCTAGTGGGTATGAGGTGGTATCTCATTGTGGTTTTCATTTGGATTTCCCTAATGACTAATGATGATGAGCATCTTTTCAAGTGCTTATTGGATTTTATATATCTTCTTTGGAGAAATATCTGTTGAAATCATTGTCTTTCTGGGGATATTAAGGCTGGTGTTTTGTTGTGGATTTAAAGTTTTCATCCCCTTATAGTCTCTCTCCTTTCAAATGCATTTTCCCATCTGTCTATTTTGGGATCTGACATTGGTTGCCTCGAAGCCCGGGTGCAGCCTTTCAGGACTTGCCTCTGGGCAGCTCAGCTTCCTCAGGAAGTCTGCTGTGCTACTTCCGAAGCTGCCACGGGATTTCTTCTCCTGAGGCTACACCTCTGTCCATCGTGTCTTCCGCGTGTGGCCCGAGCAACTTCCCGGCCACCTGGAGAAGGCCTGTGCTCGTTCACTCCTGGACGTGCTGTGGGCTCCCTTCCCTGCAGCCCCACTGCAGACCAGCACCAGTGCAGAGCTGCAGGGGGACAGCCCTGCAGGTGCCCCTTCTTTGAGGTCCCAGGGCTCCCACCCCCAGGCCTGTGGGGCTCTGCAGCCTGGAACTCGGTTTTCTTGGATCCTGTAAGACAGTCACCAGTTGTACTTCTGCTTTCAGAAATGTTGTCTCTCTCTTTTTCCCTGTCTCTTTCATGCCTTTTAGTGAGGGCTTGAAAGAGAGTGCACGTAAACACCTGTCCTTGATTTTCCATCTGTAGCCGGAAGCACTGGTTGCTGGCATGTGGCTGGACAGTGCACCCGCTCTGCCTTGGGCACTGTGCTGCCCTGGCTAGTGCCTGCATGTTGTGGGCACTCCTCCCATGACTCTCCTTGCGCTTCAGGCCACCGTGGAGGGGAGAACATCAGTGGTCTGGAGTACAGCCACTGGTCAGGGAGGTGGCCTCTGCTTTTTGCTGGTTAGAGCAGTGGAGATATGGCCCCAGACCTCAGCCTTCCTGCAGGGTGGGGAGGGCCCTTGGCAGCATGCCAATGTGGGGCCAGCTGCCTGGGCTCCCATGACACTTGCAGCCTCAGGGAATATGAGAGGCAAATTGGAGAGGGACCCCAAGCCGGGGTCACTATCAGGGCCTCTGTTTGCCCAGGGGTTAGGGAGTCTCTTCCCTCATCTCTGGCTGCATCGTTATGCTCGGGTTCAAGCGGGCCTCAGGTGGGAGGGCAGGGGCTACCCCTGCCATCCTCAAGGAGGTGCTGTGGCCTGGACTTCCAGGAAGGCAGGTGCTGAATCCTGGAGGACTTCCTGACACAGGCCAGGTCATCTCAGTCCTTTTCTACATTCTCTAAAGTTTCTGAAAGGAGCATTATTGTTGGGATGAACAGTGTTTTTGAAAGGAGGGGCCAGCACCCCACTGTCTCTCATTTGCCTAGGGAAACAACATGGACCTTGAGTCTCTGGTCAGTTTTACATGGGTCCATGGTAACGGGGGTCTAGATGAGTGTGGTGGTCCTGCCAGCAGTGAGGCTGCGGCCACAGGGCAGCTGTGACTGAACCTGGGGTGGGATGTGCTCAGGCTGCTCTCTGCCCACCAGGCCCTGACGCACCCATCGTGCTCAGCCCTGCTGTGGCTCAGCGGGCCCGTGGGCCCTTCCCAAACCACTAGTTGTGGGTGGGTCAGCGTGGTGTCAATGCAGAGACCAGTGGGCGTGGGTGCACCCCATGGGATGCTGCTTCAGAGCCCCTCAACCTACTCTGCTTCTCCTTTGCAGGAAGCTGTGCCAGCCACAGAGCGCAGGTGGCCTCCCTGGAGACCCTGCTGCTGCCAGCCCTCTGGGTGAGCATGGGAGCTCATCCTCACCCCCTCAGGTAGGAGCTGCCAATGTGGGTATGATAGCACGGTGGTGGTGAGGGAGGTGTCGAGGGAGGGTGGGTCTCACCTGGAGCCGTGGGTATGACCTGACCTTGGTGCCTGGGGAGCCCATTCGACCCTTGGCTCAGAGCTGGGAAGATTTCTTCAATGAGTGACCAGCTGGCTGGCTTCCCGCAAGCGGTGGGTCCCGGGTCTGGGGCCTGGGTGTGGTTCCCTGGGATACCTCTTGGTGGTGTGGCCAAGGGAGGGCAGCCTGCTGGACTGCCCTGAGCCTCATGTCTGTACAGTGGGTTCCTGCCTCCCAGGGCTGTCGTGAAATCAGTTGTGCTGGCTGAGGCCCGGGCTGGTGCCCAGTTAGTCCCCGTGAGCAGTGGCTGCTGCTATTTTCATCAGTGGTCAGGAAGGGTGCTTGGGAGAGCCTCACTGGCGGGGGCGGGGGGGGTGTGGCTCCCGCCTGGCTCTGGCTAGGGGGAGCTCAGCCATGCCCCCCTCACCATTGCTTAAGCTATTTGGTGAAAGCTGTCTCCCTGCCTACCTGTGTGCTTTGACTTCTGAGTCCCACGTCCCTGGCCCCCAACTCGCCAGTCCCTCTCTTCCTTCCTCCTCCTCTGCCTTGGAGGCACCCAGTCCACATCCATGGCCTTGAAACCCCCCATGCACACTATGCTGTGGGGCCAACATGGGGCCAAAGGGCCTTACTTCACCCACATCCCCACCACTGCCCCCTGGGCCTGGACCACCTGGCCCAATCCTGGCTCCCCTCCTGTGGTCTGGCCATGCCTCACAGGCTCGGTCTTCTCATCTTTGAAAAGGGGATGTGGCTCACTCCATTTCACAGGGTTGCCATGGGGATCCAGATAGTTAGGGGTCTGAGGATGACAGTCACGGCCTGTGGGGCTGCCCTGTGTCCCTCAGACTGGGCTCTCTCACTGTTGCCATTGTCTGGGGAAGATGCTGAGCACAGTGCTGTTTTAGACTAATCCCTAGAGATGGCCCTTAAGGGCTGGAGCCTGGCCTGCTGATGACCTGACTGCCCTTCCTCTGCTCTGTCACCTTTGGGCCCAGCTGAGCTCCAGGAGTCCCCTGCCTGGCTGGTGTCCGGGCGCCACCATGTGGCCCGAGCGGGCCTTGCATGCGGGCGCTTGCTTTCCTCAAGACCTGGGGCTGCCTGGCCTCTCTCAGCTCAGGGCTGGCCTTTTGCTGCCCATCCGCTCTCTGGAGCACATCAGTAGCTCTGGGCACAGGCTACCCTCTGAAATTGTCTCCCTTCCTCGCAGAAACGGCCACAGCCTCCTGATTTCATCGACCCCCTGGCCAACAAGAAACCCAGGATATCGCACTTCACTCAGAGAATTCAGCCCGCAGTCAATGGGAAGCTGAGCACACCCCACAGCCGTGAGCCCCTGCTGCCTACCCCGGGCCTGCCGCCCAGCACAGACTCCCACCTGCCCCCGCGGCTGGAGCCCCCTCGGGCCCATGACCCCCTGGCTGATGTCAGCAATGATCTGGGCCACAGTGGCCGGGACTGTGAGCATGGGGATGTGGCCACCCTGGCCCCAACTGAGCGCCTCAGCCTGCCCCTGCTGATGGACTGTGCCCAGCCCAGCAGGCCCCACAGTGGCTCCTTGCGCAGCAAGTCAAAGAAGAAGTCCAAGAAGCACAAAGACAAGGAGAGGGCGGCTGAGGACAGGCCCCAGGCCCAGCCGCCAGACCATGTGCCTGGCCCCCTTGGAGCCCCGCCAGATGTCCCGGGTAGGTGCCGAGAGGCAGGCCCAGGGGCAGGAGGCTCTGCAGGCGGGCACTGCTAGGAGCTGGAGCACCGGCCCCATGCCCACCCTGACTCCCCAGGGTACGAGGGGGCTGTACCACCCCATGAGCCCCAACTTTGCCTCACCCTGCGCATTTGGGCCCCTTGCACCCTGTGTTCTTGCATCCGATTGTCTGCGAATGCCCTGGCTATCTTGGCCCCGGAGCCTCCTGCAGTCCTGCTGTGTGCCAGGCTGGCGCTGGGGGCTTGGAACCTGATGGGGCTGAGGCTCACAGGAGAGGACAGCGCACAGGGAGAGGAATGAGTGCAGGCTGCAGCTCTGGCAGCAGGATGGACCCAGACACTGAGAAGGGAGTAGGGTGGGGTGGGGGCTGCAGAGGAATAAGCTTTTCAGCCAGTGGAGAAAGGGTTTGGAAGGTGGGGGCCACAAGGAGGTGGGAGACTGTCTGTAGAACAGCCTGTGGTAAGAGCTGGAACGAGGTCACACAGTGAGTGGGGAAGGCGGAAGTCAAGAGACCTGAGATGGCAGCCACAGTGAGGGGGGTACCAGGCTGGCTGGGGCTGTGCACTGAACGGGGAGACCTTTGCGGGGCCAGGGCTGCTGGGGAGGCATATGGACAGGCTAGACTGGTAGTGGAGATGGGGGTCATCACCCCCAGAACCTGGGCCACCCCTAGTTTACAGCCCTGGGAACCTGAGCTGAATGTCTCTCGTGGCTCTAGCTTAACGTAATTAGCATGATGAAGCAACAGAGGCGCAGCTGTGCCTGCCATGTGGGGGCCTGGGCTGCGGCGTGGGGCCTGGGCAGCTTGGCCGTGTCACCTCGTGCAGCTTTCAGGCTCTTTCCCCAGGAGGGTCCTGAGCATGGGGCATTTCTGAATCAGGGTGGAGCTGCTCCTTAAGTCTTTGTAATGAATTGCTCCACTGCCCCGCAGAAAGGCCATGCCAGCCCCTGCTCTGGCTGAGGACAGGTCCTGGTGTAATGTGGCCGACCGGGTCAGTCCTCAGTTCCTCTCAGCCCTACTGTCCACCAGGCTTCCCAGTGTCTGTGGCTAGGCCAAGGGGGAGAAGGAGGCCTGGTTCCCTGAGTGCCCCCTCTAATCTGAGTCCTGCCTGGGGAGACAGGCCCTGAGCAGGCTCAGCCGGGCAGCATGTTCTGTCCCATAGGGCAGAAGTGAAACGTCATGTGTGTGCTTCTGGCGGGGCCCTGGGAAGGAGGAACACTGTAAGGCAGGGGGATAGGGTGGGGCCAGGAGGGTGCTGCCCAGACCAGCCCCAGGCCTGGGGCTCAGACGCCTTTGGATCAAGCCCAGTGTGCATCAGCCCTGGGCAGCTTATCCCCAGGCAAAGGTGAGAAAGTGAGGTTTGGGATCAGGCAAAGCGGAGAGTAGATGGCCCAAGGAAAAGAAAAAGGACATCTGTTGAGGCACCAGAAGCTCCGCCTGGCACCACGTGATCTGTCTTAAGCAGCATGTCTCAGGCAGCTCAAATGATGATAATGGGTGGACGCAAAGCTCCCTGGTGCCTGCCTAGAGGCCCCCATCCTGCTGCTGCGGCTTCTTCCGAGGTGGGGGCTGCGGTGTGCCAGGCTGAGCTCAGGCCCGCTGATCCCAGGTGAAGGCACACGAGCAGGAAACCCCTGCCTCTGTGTGACAGTGGCGTTGTTCTCTGCACACCCCTACTTGCTGCAGAAGGCTCCAGGTCATCACATGTCCCTGGAGCAGAGGGACAGGCATCATTGTAACCCACCCTTCTGCGTGGCACTGTCCTCTAGTCTGGCCCTGTTGTCCCAGCCCTGCCCCGTGATTGCCTCTGACCCCAACAGGTGCTACCAAGTGATGACATCACTTCTATGTTGGGGGAAGAGGCCATCTGGATAAAGTCCTGAGGGGATAAAAACTAGATTGCAGTTTGGGCAGGCTAGGGACATCCTCCAGCTCCACTGTCAGATGGCTGGGGCGTGGCCCTTGGTGCCTCTAGCCTGGCTCTGTTCTGGGGCTTCCCCTTGGAGCCTGTGGCCTGGCATCCAGGGGGAAGAAGGAGAATTGGTGGGGCTCAGACCAGGGACGGGAACCCACAGGGACCTCGACGCCATCAGCAGTGAGAGGTGCGGGCAGGAGCTGGGGCCTTCTCTGGTGGCCATCCATCTTCGTCCTGTGAGGCTGGAGAGTGGGGCAGCCGAGGGACTTGGCCAGCCAGGGGTCACCTGTTTTCTGCTTGGTGACCTTTTACACGAGGTCAGCTGAGGCAGCAAAGGCTCTGGATGGGACCAGCTCTGGATGAGTTGCCCAGGCTTTGGCCCACAATTAACCTGTCCTTTCAGTTGCTGGCTGAAAACGTGTCCACAGCACCACCTGGGCACCCTGTGCTCTGCACAGCTGTGGTTCAGGGACACATGCCCCCGCCACCATATGCTCGCTTACCACCTCTCCCACGGGTGGGCCCCCAGGTGGCTCGACAGCACTTGCCCCATGCTCACACCTTTGGTGTCCTGGCTCCCCCTGGGTGGCCTGGCTCCCTCTCCACACAGCCTCCCCCTCTGCCATCCCTCTGTGTCCTTCAGACGAGGGAGCGTGAACCTGTTCAGATCCTGCCTGGTGGACGCAGGAGGTGTGGACTCAGCAGATCCGCATTTGCTCTTTGTAGGTTTAAATGGGGCCTGCAGCAGCTCAAGCGTCCCCACATCCACCTCAGAGACCCCCGACTACCTGCTGTGAGTACTTCCCTTTTCGGCTGCTCCTCCCACCTGTGGGTTAGCAGAGGCAGAGCTGACTCCAGGTGCATTTGTGTCCCCAATCGCCCAGCCTATTCGAGGTCGGGGCAGCTTCCTGGGTGGGCCGGCCGCATGCTTTGGGCACTCTGGCCTCTGCTTTGGCCCCCTGAGCCCCGCCGGCCCCTCTCTCCCCAGGAAATACGCCACCATCTCCTCCTCAGAGCAGCGCCAGAGCTACAAGAATGACTTCAATGCCGAGTATAGTGAGTACCGCGACCTGCACGCCCGCATCGAGCAGATCACACGGCGCTTCACGCAGCTCGACGCCCAGCTCCGGCAGCTGTCCCAGGGCTCCGAGGAGTACGAGGTAGAGCCCCGCCCGCGGTGGGCGCTGCTGGCACCCGCACACCTGCTCCGTCGTGTTCTGGGCCGAGGGCCCTGCTGACTGCTCCTTCCCCCAGCATGGTTCAGGCCTGTCCCGGGGGCTCTGCGGGCTTGAGGCCTGGCTCCACCTCAGCAGCAATGAGGCCAGTTGTGACTAACTCTGCAGGTGGGAGGTGACCCATGTGGCTCAGGGAGCACAGGGCCGAGGCACAGGGGTCCCCACCTGTGAGAACATCTAGGGTCCTCTCGAGGCCACTACCCACATCACAGGGGACACTTCGGCCCCCTGCCAGGAGAGGCAGGGCCAGACTGCATCCCACGGCCCATCAGTGCCATCACAGCCACAGTGGGAGGTGGGAGGGGATGGAGGGTCCCTGTGGTCCCCCGCCTGTACTAGGAGTCCCTCATCCTCTGGCCGAGGGCACACAGGCTTCCCAAGCCGTCCTGTGTGGTTCACTGCAGGGGGAGGGCCTCCACCCTTGGTCACTAGCCCTGGGACACCAGCCTCCTCCTTGTCCTACTGTTCAGAGCTGGTTACCTGATTAATCGGGGTATCGGGGTCTCTCTCTCATGGCAAAGGCCATTTTGTTTTCCAGAGGAGGGCTCACGGTTGGAGGAACGGTGAGTGTTCTGAGCCTCTGAGCCGAACAAGCTCCCAGGGCATCCTCGTCCTCCCTCCTTGCAGCCGTGTGGATGTCCCTCACCTCCCCCTGCACCCCAGGTGGTCGGGGGCCTCTGTGCTTGGCCTGGAACAGTGGACAGGGAAGGAGGCCGGCCCACCGCTCTTTGCCTCCTCCCAAGGCTCCACCGGGCCCTCCCACTGCACAGGCCTCGTGCTTTGACCCTGAAGCTGGGCCCCTGCCCCTCACTCCCCTGGCCCAGCTTCCTCCTCTGCTTCCTGCCTTGTTCATGCCCCCCAGCCGGCCCCTCCTCTGTACTTCGTCAGCTTCCCTCACGCCATCCTGAGGCCATTGTCCCCAGAGGCCATTGTCCCGAGGCAGATGGTGATCCTGCAGGTCACAGGTTATCAGGGAGAAGGGGCCACTCAGTTGAGGTTTCTCGCAGGCGAGGGCATTGTTTGCTTTCTCTTTTGTTTTTTCCAGACTACTCGTGGGCAGATTTTGCAGGAATATCGAAAAATCAAAAAGGTGAGTCTCCCTGCTCTTGTGGGGTGGGGTGAGAAGCAGCTGCGGCAAGGCGAGCAGTGCCAGAAAGTCTGCGCAGGGAGGGAGGAAGGGCCTCGTGGGCTGAGGTCTTGGGTCCGCAGAGCAGCGCCCCCCTGCCCCTCCCATTTACAGCCGAGGGCTGAGCCTGTCCCTGAGCTTGCGTGCAGCCCCCAACTGGGCACCTCTGCACCCCTCAACTCTCCCCCTGCTTGGTGGGTGCAGTCCCCAGGCCCTTTCCAGCAAAGCTCCTTCCGAGGTGCAGGGGAGGAGCTGGTCCCCGCCCCCAGCCTGGCCCCATCTGTCTTCAGCCCTGCGCTGGCAGAAACGCCCAGCCTCAGGCTCACTGAGGGTCTCCTGTGAGGTGGTTCCATGATCTTAGCTCTTGTTCCTGAAGGCCACGAGCTCTGGGTTTACCACATGTGTGCCCCGTGTGCCTGCGTGGTTCCCTGCCAGCGAGTCCCCAGCCCGGTGCAGAAGTTTCATGACTAATCTCACTTCTGACTCTCATCCTGGCTGTGACCGTGTTTCCCAGGGTGGGGCTGGGGTGCCTGTAAGCAGGGGGAGCAAAAGCCAGGTGGCCAGTTGGGCCAGGGGCTCCACACAGGGCAGCTTGAGTTGGCACCGGGCTCCCAGCCACCGCTGGCCACACTCAGACGTGCTCACACTGCCGCCCTCTTGCAGACCAACACCAACTACAGCCAGGAGAAGCACCGCTGTGAGTACCTGCACAGCAAGCTGGCCCACATCAAGAGGCTCATCGCCGAGTATGACCAGCGGCAGCTGCAGGCCTGGCCCTAGCCCGAGACCGCAGGGCAGGAGGTCCGCTCCACTGGCCAGGCCAGCTCTTCTCCCTGGGCTGACCTTTCTGGATGGCGGGGAGCTGGGGTCAGGGGAGCTAAAGACGGGAAAAAAGAGATTTATTTAAAAAAATAAACACAAGGAAGACAGGTTCATCTGAGCCAGCAACGCCGGTTTTCAGGGGAGCCCCTGCAGACCTGGTGCTCACAGGTCACAGATCCAGGTGGGGTGTCTCGGCCCCCACTCCTCCTGAGCAGCCCCCGCCCAGGATGGGCTCCCCAAGAAGCCCACCTCCTTGCAGGCCGAAGCCCAAGGGGCTTCAGCTTCCTCTCGCCGGAAGACTTGGAGGCCGGCCTGCCTGCCTTTTCTGGTTTTATACAAAGACAGCCACTTTTAGCTACTGCTTATGAGACTGGAGTCTATTTTTATACAAAAGAGAAAGCATCTTTTTTCTAAACCTGTGCCTCCCTCCCTGGACACTAGGGTCTAGATGCCGCCCTGTGTCCTTTCTGCAGTATTACAGATGCCATCAGAAAGTTCGGCGTTGTTGGTGCGAGCTCCAAGGAGAGAACCCGTGTGTGGTGGGTGGGCCGCGTCTCCCCTGCTGGTCTCATGCTGGGTGCCTGGACAGGCCCTTCCCTGCAGCACCTGCCTCTCCTTCCTCCCCCTTGCTCCGAGGGGTCTCTGCGCTACGGGCTTGGGTGGGGCAGCTCCCAGGTCTATTCGGAGAACCCAGCTGGCCCCCGAGCAGCTGCTGGGAGCCGGCCAGAGTGGAGCCCGAGGCGCTCCCGGCTTGCCCTGCTATTTCAGACCCTCAGCTGTCGGGGCCGCTGGGCTTTTCTGTGTTACAAGCCTGCGCTCTGCAGCAGCGCTGTCGGGTTTTAGTTTATGACGTTCTCAATTTTCCCCTTTGCTGCTGCTTTTCATTTCGCACTGTTGAGACTGTGTGGTCTCCATGCTATTGACCTCGCTCCATCCCTCAGTCCACTTGTGGGTTCTGGGGTTGTCTTAGCAGAGCCACTGCGGGGTTTGCACTCAGGGAGGGGCTGGGGGTTGATGGGGTTGGGGGCACCCCCCGAAAGTGAGCTCAGAAAAGGCACCTGGTCCTCCTGTTCTGGGGGTCACGGGTTCCGTGGACACCCCAATTGCTGCTTAGTCGCTGTGCCTAGTCTATTATCCCCCAAAGCGTCAGGGGGCCATGCGTGCGTGTGTGCGTGCCTGTGTGAGTGAGAGAGAGGGGCCCTGCCAGGGCATGTTGGAGGCTGAGGCGTGTGTTCACATTCAGGGCCATGTTCAGTAAAACACCAGTGAGGGTGCAGTGGCTGCGGCCTGCAGCCCTGAGGTCACAGGGGCATCGCTGCTGCCAGCGGTAGTGAGGCAGGGAGAGCGGGAACGCTCCCATGGAGTGAGTTATCTGTGCAGAGCTGTGGGGGTCTCCTCATGGCTTCCCAAAGAGCAGGCGCCCTCGTGGAGGGGACCTGCACAGTGCCCCCTCACCCTGAAGTCTCTCTCTGCAGGCCCCCTGGGGTGCCTGGAGCACCGGAAACGACCCTTCATGTTTCCCTAGCTGTCATTTTGTTTTTCGTTTGGAGAGTGAGGGAAGGGCGGTGCGGACACTGGGTTGCATATGGGGACTTCTGGCCCAGCCGTGCGGGCGCGGTGGGGATCATCTGAGGAGGCCCTCTGCTCTGGAACCAGTTCAAGGGACTCTCAGCTGATTTCCTTTTTGTTGTTGTTTTCTTGTTGTTTCTTGTTTTTTCCTCCTTTTAAGGAATTATGAAGCTAAGAAAAGTTCTGTGCTTTAGGGGTTGATGGACAAAAGTTCTAGCTGATTAAATATGGTCTAACTTATTGATACTGTGTTTTTTTTTCCTTTTAATATTGTACTGTGGAGAAAAACTATTTTGAGCCATGGAGTTGGTGTTTACAAGAACTTTTCACTTTTGCCAAAATGTTCCAATTGAAAGGCATCCACATCTTCAGTTTCCTAATATTTTCTTAAAAGACCTAGTGTCCTTTTTGTACACTAAACAGGTGAATGCTGATTTTTTTCAACCTATAATAAATGTCACTGAGCCGAACCTAGCAGCCTAGGCTGCCTGGGTGCGTGTGTGTCTGTCACAGTTTGGGGGGTGGGCCAGGGTCAGGAGGCCACTTGGCCCCACGTGACCATAGTGAGTGGGGCAGGGGTGGGGCACGGGCTGGGACAAGGCAGAGAAGACGTCCTGGACAGCCTGCCAGAGCTGCTGCCCAGGAACGAGGCTGGCAGGTGGAGGTTATCCTGACCAAGGTGGCGGCAGGCCCTGCAGGTGACAGGGCAGGAGGCCAGACCCCGTGATCACAGGTAGGAAACGGCAGAGAGGCTGGGGAGGCGGAGGCAATGGGGAGCTTCGGTGGGGGTGTGAGCGGGGCAGGACCCCAGTGTGGACAAGGTGGGCTGAGCCAGCAGGGGCATCCCCAGCCTCCCACAGCACCGGAGCTCACAGCAGTGGGGCCACAGGCGAGGGGTGTGCCCTTATTTAGGGGGAAATGGGCTTTGACTGACTGATGGAAACAGTGGTGAGTAACCACACTGTCATTCATTGTTCATTCCAACTAGGCCAACAGGCAGGGACTGGGGTATCCCCTGTGTCCCTCATGAGGCTACAGCACTGAGGCCCGGTGCAGCCCCTCAGGCCCAGACACCAGCAGGGATGGCCGTCATTGCCCTGTGTTCCAGGTGAGCAGCCAAAGGCAGGGGGTAGGTCCTGCCCTCTAGGGACACAGGGAGAGTGGGCATTTATTTTAGGAAGGAAAAACAGACAAAGAGTAAGACCTGGATTGAAGGAGTCCAGGGGTCGGGGGCTGTGGGCCTTAGCCTCCCTGGCAGCCGCACTGGCTAGCGGCCTTGGTCTGAGGCAGCCCAGGAATTTGAGGGCTGCAGGATGCGAGGTCCAGCAGTGGACCCTGCTCCTGAGGTGGCCTGGCTCTGCTGTTTCCATGGGATAACATCTTTGTCCACACACTTGGGGCCCAGGGCCAAAACCTGCCTCCCTTGGACCCTGCATGATTCAGCCTTGCCCTGCCCACCCGCCTCCCCTGTCCTCCATTAGCCTCAGCCGCAGCCCTCACACTACCTGGCAGTGCCGTGGCCATCGCCCCTTCAGTGCACCGTGGATACAGGTGGCTCCCTGATTGTCCTTCCTGAGCAGAGGACACCACGTGTCCAGCCTCCTGAGGCCCAGAAGGGTCTTCCCATGCTCATGAAGTGTACCATGGCCGAGGGGCTTGGGGCTGCCCACCCGCTCCACTTGCTGGACAATATCTCCAATTGTCATCCTGTCAACACCTGGATCCCACAGCGCCTCCTGTGCAACGGGCTCCACCTGGGCACGGGCACTCAGCAGTGATCAAGACAGCCCTGTCCTCAGGAGCTTGTTGTCTGGTGGGGGCAGGTGTCCCAGCAGCACACTCAGCCCATGTCACACACCCAGGCCGTCCCTACAGTTGCCTTTATAGCACCAACGAACTGTCAGGAATAGAAGCCACCTGAGGCCAGGTCCCTCCCAGCTGCCCCCCAGCACTGCTCTCCAGGGAGCCCACCTAGGCCCGCTCTCTGCCCCCCCCCTGCCCCCACTCTTGCTGCACCTCCCCCAGACTGCCCTGTGAATGCTGGAGTTCCCAGCGCTGGGTCTTGGGGCCTTTCTCATCTCTGCACACATTGCTGTGACATCACTTGTGGCCTGGTGGTGCACGCTTCCTCCACGGTCCCCTGACACCAACTGGATGTCAATTCCCAGTGCTCGCATCAGACTTCACAGGTTAAGGGGCTCAGTACCACATGACTGCCCCCCACTTCAGACACTAGCCACAAGTCTCTGCCCACTCATACTTCTGACCACCCAGTTGTATATGGGGGGTTCCCATGACTCGTTCCTCCGTTTGGTAATAGCTGGAATGGCTCACAGTGCTCAGGAAAACACTTCAACGGCCAAATGGAGGAGACGCAGAGGGCAGGCTGTGAGGAACGGAGCGGGGCTTCCATGCCTTCTACAGGTGTGCTGCCCTTACCGGGCCCCCTGTGTTCACCACCCCCCTGCTGTTCAGGAGTGTTGATGAGGTGCTGTTAGGTAGGTGTGATTGAGTCCATCACTGGCTGTTGGTGTCTAAACTCAATCTCCAGCCAGGAACGGGACAAAACCTGAATATTTATTATACCATAGTCCTGAGAGTCTGCCCTGGTCCCCAAACTGCCTGCCTCCCTCTGCTGTTGCTGCCTTTTCATCTGCCCCTGAACCCACTTGCCCGGGTTTTCGCCTGGGCAGCTCTTGCTACTCTTAATAGAAAATGTCTTCATATCTCAAGACACCTTCCAGCAGCCACCTCCTCCAGGCAGCCTGCACTGCCCAGCCCTGCCTCTGCGTTCCCTCTGGCTGGGGGTGCCCCAGTCCACTTCGGACTCCCCCACGCTGGAGCCCCCGCCTCCCAAGGCCAGGCCCTGAGCACGTTTTCTATGAACGTTTCCAACTGTCCACCTTTTGGGCCGGCTCCAGTGATGGAAACTTTCCAGCCGAGGAGGCCGCTTGTTTTGGAAAGTTCCTGGGGGAGCCGCCCCACCCGCCGGGTTCCCACGCTCCTTATCACTGGGCGCTAGGGGGGCGCCGTGCTGGGCCGGCCTAGTTCCTCCCCAGCTGGCGGCCTCGGCCCTGCCCACCCCTTCCCGTCCTCACCGAACAGTCCCCTCTCCATCCTGGCCTTGCCAGGCCCTCCTGATACAGGTGGGGAAACCCCCTCTGTGTGAACCTGTTGGAGGTGGGAGTGCCTGGCACTACTGCTCAGGAAGGGGGAGCAGGCTGGGCTGGAGAAGTGTCTGTTTTCCGGTCCGAATCCTGGCTTAGTCCTCTGCCTCAGTTTCCCCAGGGGCCCCCGTAGGCCCGGCCTCCCTGCCCAGTTCCACCTCCTGCCTTGTGGTTGCAGCCTGTAGCTCACTTGCAGCCTTAATGTCCTCTTTTGTAAGGTGAGAATAAAAGGACTGAGGTGCGAAGTGAATCAAGGCGCGCCGTGCGGGCCGTGGCCTGCGGCCCACATGTTGGCCTGGCCGAGACTGGCGGGGCGGGGACCAGATACCCACTGTGATTTGGGGCTGCTGGGCCTCGAACCCGAGTCCTAGCCGGCGCGCCCTTCACCCCGCGTGCCCCGCCCCCCGGCGCCGGCGGACGAGGGGCGGGGCGGGGGCGGGGCGGCGGCTCTTTTCTCTGGAGTTCGCGCGTCCGGACCACTCGCCGTCCGCCGCCGTCCGAGCCCGCTCCGCGCTGGTGAGTGCGGCCCCGGGCGGGGTCCGGGGGCCTCGGGGACCGAAGTCGCTTCTGCCCGGCCGGCTCTCGCATCCCCGCTGACCTCCTGCTAACCCCGCGCCCCCAGCTCGCCGCGATGAAGGCCGCAGCCGAGTTCGTGGTCGAGAGCCCGGACGTGGTCTACGGCCCCGAGGCCATCGAGGCACAGTACGAGTACAGGACGACAGGCGTCAGCCGCGAGGGCGGTGTCCTCAAGGTGGGCGAGGGACGGAGGGGGGCCGTGGGGATGGGGGAACTGGGGAGCCGTGAGGGGTTGGGGATTGCCCCACGTCTGCAACCCCGACCCTGCAGTGAGGGAGAAAGGGCCTGGGACCCGGGACTCATTGCGCCGCCCTTCCCCAGGTGCGCCCCACGTCCACGCGCTTCACCTTCCGGACCGCCCGGCAGGTGCCCCGGCTCGGGGTCATGCTTGTCGGCTGGGGCGGGAACAACGGCTCCACGCTCACCGCCGCCGTGCTGGCCAACCGACTGCGTCTGTCCTGGCCCACGCGCACCGGCCGCAAGGTGGGGGGTCGGGCGGGGCTCCGCCGGAGTCCGTGCGGGAGGGGGAGGGGCCTCCAGGGGCGGGGCTCCGTGGAGGAGGGAGGCCACAGGGGGCGGGGTTCCTGCGGGGCGGTGCCTGGCTGCCGGCGGACTCCTGGGGGGGTCTCGCGGGGGCGGAGCCTAAGGTATCCGCAGGCTCCGGGGAGGGACGTCTGGAGGGGGAGCGGCTTCCGCCCGGGCTTGGATCGCAGAGCTGAGGCGCCCCAAAGTAGGGCGGAGCTTGAGGGTGCCGTGCGGGCCATGGCCGGCTGGTGGCCTACGCCACGCCCACCCCTCGCCCCGCCCCGCCTGCCGCCCCCCAGGAGGCCAACTACTACGGCTCGCTGACGCAGGCGAGCACCGTTAGCCTGGGCCTGGACGCCGAGGGCCAGGAGGTGTTCGTGCCTTTCAGCGCACTGCTGCCCATGGTGGCGCCCAACGACCTCGTGTTCGACGGTGGGCAGTGCCCTGGGCCAAGGGTGGGGCGGGAGGTAGGGCCTGGAGGGGCCCAGGGTCCCGGCTGGGCCTAGCTTGAGGGTCCCCCCTAGGCTGGGACATATCGTCGCTGAATCTGGCCGAGGCGATGCGGCGCGCGCAGGTGCTGGACTGGGGGCTGCAGGAGCAACTGTGGCCACACATGGAGCCCTTACGCCCACGCCCCTCCATCTACATCCCCGAGTTCATCGCCGCTAACCAGAGTGTGCGCGCCGACAACCTCATCCCAGGCACGCGAGCGCAGCAGGTGTGGCCCCACCCAAGTCCCTTATCCCCTGCCACTTGTCCCCCTCCCTGCCACCTGTTAATTCCTATTTGCTCCCCTGTTATGTGGGGGACCTGTACAACCTCACCCTTCCTCCATCCCCTCAGCTGGAGCAGATCCGCAGAGACATCTGCGACTTCCGGTCCAAGGCTGGGCTGGACAAAGTCATTGTGTTGTGGACAGCAAACACGGAGCGCTTCTGCGAAGTGGTCCCGGGCCTCAATGACACCGCTGAGAACCTGCTGCGCACCATCGAGGTGAGTGTGCCCAGGGGTGGCACAGGGTTGGGGCTAGCCCCCAAGGACCTCTCTGGGCTGATGGCCCACCTGCACCCACAGGTGGGCCTCGAGGTGTCGCCCTCCACGCTCTTCGCCGTGGCCAGCATCTTGGAAGGCTGTGCCTTCCTCAACGGGTCCCCACAGAACACACTAGTGCCTGGTGCCCTTGAGCTCGCATGGCAGCGCCGCGTCTTTGTGGGCGGAGACGACTTCAAGTCCGGCCAGACCAAGGTCAAGTCCGTGCTTGTGGACTTCCTTATCGGCTCCGGCCTGAAGGTGTGTGGGACTAGGGGATGTGTGACTCGGGAAGGGGCGGGTCTGGATCCCAAGCACCACCAGACTTGTGTGTTGCAAGGCCTGCAGTGCCAGTCAGGCCCCTGTTCCTGCAGACCATGTCCATCGTGAGCTACAACCACCTAGGCAACAATGATGGGCAAAACCTGTCAGCACCGCCCCAGTTCCGCTCCAAGGAGGTGTCCAAGAGCAGTGTGGTGGATGACATGGTGCAGAGCAACCCAGTGCTCTACGCACCCGGCGAGGAGCCCAACCACTGCGTGCGTGGGGCACGGGCGGGATGGGGGGGTGGGCGGGGCTCCCGGCAGAGGCGGACAGGGACCCCTGTGACCTCCTGCTGCCTCCCAGGTGGTCATCAAGTACGTGCCCTATGTGGGCGACAGCAAGCGTGCACTGGATGAGTACACATCGGAGCTCATGATGGGCGGCACCAACACGCTGGTGCTGCATAACACATGTGAGGTATGGGGCTCGCCCAGGGCAGAGTGGGGCTGCCCTCCAGCCCCACCTCCCTCCTGACCCACTGGCCCTGCAGGACTCTCTCCTGGCTGCACCCATCATGCTGGATCTGGTACTGCTGACAGAACTGTGCCAGCGTGTGAGCTTCTGCACCGACGCTGACCCGGAGCCACAGAGCTTCCACCCAGTGCTGTCGCTGCTCAGCTTTCTCTTCAAGGCACCGCTGGTGCCACCAGGCAGCCCCGTGGTCAATGCACTCTTCCGCCAGCGCAGCTGCATCGAGAACATCCTAAGGTGCGCCCCGGCCCTGGGGTCCCCACCGTGGCCCAGATGTCCACTCAAGGGGCTGTGCACTGGGCCTAGGGATTGGAGGCTGCAGGGGCACGAGCCTCAGGGTCTGACTGTTGAGCCCCAACCCGTTCCCCAGGGCCTGCGTGGGGCTCCCGCCGCAGAACCACATGCTTCTGGAGCACAAGATGGAGCGCCCCTGCCTCAGGCAAGGCCAGCCTGTGGCCCCTGCCTATGCTGGGCCTTGCAAGAAGGGGTCAGCCCCGACTGCCCCCAACGGCTGTGTCGGTGATGCCAATGGTCATACAAAGGCCGAGGCACCCCAGATGCTCACCACCTGAGCCCTAGCCACACACCTCCCCCATGACTCCTGCCCCCTTGCGCTTCAGGACCCGAACCTCCCAGGCCCAGCCCGAAACAATAAAGCCAGTGCACCGTCTGTAGCGCCTCCGGGTTCTTGGTGCCTGCGATCTAACCACCCCCCCCACCTCAGCCCTAGCTGCCTGTTTCACCTGGTTAGATTCCTACCTACCCTTCAAAACTTGTCCCAACCTTTAGGGACCTTCCCAAACCCTAGGCTTCTGCCTAATCCCTGCCCTTCAAGTGAGAGCTGAGACCCCCGGGTGGAGATAGTGGCCGCAGGCCAAGGTCAAGAAACCTGAGACCAGATACCAAAAACCAAAACCGCCTTACATTTATTGATGGGGCCCACCCCCTGCTGTCCAGGGGAAAGGAGGTCCCCCAAGGAGCCCCCCCAGGCCAAAACAGAAACGGTGGGAGGGCCGACACAGGAAAAAGTGTCTCTGAGGTCCTCGTGAGTTTAATAAAATGAGAATCCTGCGTGCGGGGCCTCCCGGCCGTCCAAGCCTTGACCGGGCTGTGACCTCAGACCCTCACCCTGCAGACCACCCGAGCCCCTGGGCTTTGGCGCTGGGCAGAAGCCGAGGCCGGCAGTGGGCACGGGGCTGCTGCCCCATCACACGCTCATGGTCATCCCGGGCGAGTACTGCGGAGAGACGAGGGGATGGCGCGCGGGGGCGGGCTCAGCTCTGGCCTAGGCTGGGACCCGCCCCCCGGGGAGAATGGGGGACGGGACAGGGCGGATATAGGGAGGGGAGGGGACAGGTAGCGATGGGTGGGGAGGCCGCCCTGGGGCACGGGTCCCAGGATGGGGTAGGGGGCGGGGTGGTGAGACAAGGGTGGGAGAGGGGAGAAAATAGGAGAAGAGGGGAAGGATGCCGCGGCCGCCCCCCCACCTGGCCCGCCGCGGTCACGGTCTTGCTCTGGCCCCCCGGCCGCCCCGCCGGGGCCTGCCTGCCAGGCCCCTCCGGCCCGACGCCGCCGCGGGGGGGGAGTCGACGCAGTCGCTTACGCTTTCGCTCGGGAACGGGTGCAGGAAAGTCCCGGCGGCCGCCATCTCGCCGTCGTCCCGCGGGGTGCCCGGGGCGTTGCTCAGGCCGGCCACGGCGCCGGGGGAGCTCTGGGGGGGGCCGCGGTCAACGCCAACTCCCCGCGCCCGGGCCAGGCCCTGCCCACCGCGCGGCCCACCCGGACGAGGCCTCCCCGTTCGAGGCGCCCCGGCCCCCACCCCAGCAGGAGCGCGGCCCCTCACCTTCGGCAACCCGTCCATGTCGCCCGAGCCTGTGGACGACAGACGACGGACACGCGGCTCAGAGGTGCCTGCACCAGGCCCGCCCCCTCGGAACTTGCGCCACGGCCGCGCCCCCTCTCCCCCCCCCCCCCCCCCCCCCCCCCCCCCCGCCCAGCCCGCTGGGGGTCCCGAGGGGAGGGCCCGGATGAGGGGCGGTGCTGACAGTCGGGCGTCCCCACGGTTGAGTTACGGACCCTCCCCCCAGCACAGCCCGGGGAGACCCCGAGGTTCAGGGAGCGGTCCCGACGCCCCGACGGCGAACACAGGGAGGCCGCCAGGGGGCGCACGAGGCTCGCGAAGGAAAGCGGGGCGGGGGTCCCCGGCCGCCCGCTCACCCAGGGATCCGTTCACGTGGTGAGGCTCCATTGCACTCATGGCGGCCATGGGGCCCTCGGGGCCAGGGCCCAGGGGGAACTGCGGGCAGAGGAGCAGCGTGGAACTCAGGCCAGCAGCCCTCCCAGGGATCACCGCCTCCCACGCGCGGCTCCCACCCCGACCCCACTCACGTTAGCCCTGCCGGCGCCCGGCCCGATGGGGTTCATAATGGTGTACATGTTCTCGCTGGAGTTGGTGGAGTCTGAGGAGAGGGCGTCGCATGAGGGGGCGGGGCGGAAGGGCTCCTCCCAAGCACACCCCTCCCCACGCCCTGCCCAGGCCCTAGTACCTCCAGGGCTGGGCATGATGGGCGTTCCAGGGGGCCCACCTCCTCCTGGGGGTCCCTGCACACGGAGGGAGACAGAAGGTAAGAAAAGCCCCTATCTGCCGCCCCACAACCCCTGCCCCCGGATCTGGTTGCCCAGCCTCGGCCACACTCACCGAGTAGCTGCCGGGGGAGGATGAGGAGTAGGGGATCTGGGGAGAGGGGCAGCTGTGAGCGGTGCGCCCATTCTACCCCCCACACACCGCCGACCCATCCCAGCCTCCAGCCCCCTAGCCTGAGACTCACCGAGTTGCCACTGGGGCTGGTCCACGGGCCGCGCACTCCAGGGCCTCTAGAAGAGTCGGTGGGTGGACGCTGAAGTGAGGCCGGGAGGCACAGAGCGCCCCCTGCGCCCCCCGTGCCCCCAGACAGGCCCGCAGGGCAGCAGGTTAGACTGAGAAGTGGGAACCGTGCACGGACTCCACGCCAGCCTTCAGATCCCAACCCATCACCACCGGCCTTTGGGCCCCAGTTTCCCCACCCAACAGTGGAGTAAGCAAGATCCGCGGCTGTTGGGCGGCTTCGCAGTCTGCCCCAGCATACCGGGCGTGTGAAGCTAGGGGGTCCCACGGACACACTCCCAGGGTCCCTGAGGGCCTTACATGTTCATGGTGGGCAGGCCTGGGCCGGCGAGTGAGTTGGGTGGGGGCCGCATACTACCTCCGTAGCTCTGTGAAGTGAAAGGGCCGTGAATGCAGCCCAAGAGGGGAAAGCCCCCGATGCCCCACACACACCTGGGCCCCACCCTTACCTGGGGCCCAACGCTGGCCATGCCCCTTGGAGGCGTCACCCTCTGCACTGAGCCCATGCTCGGATGCCCTGCGGTGGGGGCAGAAAGAAGGGGACTCAGACCAGGACCACTCTCCAGTGTGGACACGCGCTGGCTGGGGGGCGGGTGGTGGTCTGCACCATGAAGCACCAGGGACGGGGTGCTTGGAGCTGGCGTCCTGATGGGTGGAGGGGATACAGCAGCTGGACTTCCCTACTCACCCTGAGCTCGCGGGGAGGGGTCCATGGCGCCAGGAATGAGGGGCTGGGAGCCGGGGAGACCTACAGGAGGCTGAGGAGGGGGGCGTGGCAGCACTGAGTATGGGTGACCGCACTCCGGCCCGACTCCTGTCCCCCCTCCCCTCATCCCTCTCTCACCTGACTCGGCATCCGCAGGGTGGGCCGGGGGCCCCCTGGGAACCGCGGTGACATGAAGGGCTGGAAGAGGTGGGCCGGGGATCAGCACCTCCCCCCACCCTCTCATCCCCCAAAGCTACCCCGTTCCTGCTGCGCCCAGGCCGCGAGCCTGGATAGGCCCCTCCTCCAGGACCGGCCGGCAAACCGCAGCCAGCCGGCGCCAGGTGCTTGCGAGCGCAGTGGGGCGGGGGCTCGAGGGGCTGGGGGCGGGGCGTGCGTGTGCGAGGGGGCGGGGCGTCACAGGTCCTTACCTGAATATGAGGCCCCATCATGGGGGCGTTGGGGTTGTGGGGGGGCGGCTGGGAGCCAGGGGGGCCCTAGGAGGACAGAACCACGTGGGTTGGGAGAAGCGAGGTCACCCGAAGCTCCGCTGTTTCCTGTGGCCCTGCTAAGCCTGGCCGGGGATGGGGACGCCATGGAGGCGGGAGGGTGGGCCAGCCCCTGCACTGCAGGAGGGAGTGCGGGGAAGGTGGGTGAGGGGTGGCTTACGGAAAGAATCACGGACAGGACCCGTGGCTCAGAGAGCCACGTTCGGCGGCCCCAGGCATCCTGGCATGTGCCCGCGCCCGCGCCGGCCGACCGCACAAAGACCCCGCCCTCTCCTGCACCGGGGCCCCGGCCCCACGAAAGCCCGCCAGCGCATACCCACAGCACCGACAGCCCTCCCACCCAACTCCAGCCTGCGGGCCTCAGGGCCTCTCCCAGCATGGGGCCCCACTGCCGTCACCCAGGGTCGAAGGACAGAAGGCCCCAGCCCTGACCCTACCTGGAAGAAGCCAGGAGCCATAGGGCCGGCTGCCAATGCGTCGTTGGGGGCCATGCTCCCCATCACAGGGCTGGGGGCGGCTGCAGCGCTCTGCAGGGCAAGGGAGGTCACTGGCCGAGGGCCAGGTCTGGCCACTTCCCGCCCGAGTGTACCCTCCCTCCATAAGCAGCTGGCCCCACGAGATGGAGAGTCCAGGCCATCCTACCCTCTATGCTCCATGGCAAGCCACCTGTGGGTCTCTCTAGGTGACAGAAGAGCAGCTGCCCCAGTTCCCACCTGGTTTAACAACCCTAACACTGTCTCGGATACATGGGTGGCCTTCAGCAGGGGCAGGCCCTGACACTCTCCTGGCCCCGAGACCCTGGAGGAGGCCAGGGAGTTGGAGATCCCAGGCCCCAGTGAGTCCCAAGCCTGAAGATTCTGGGGGTCTGATAATGCCAACCACCAAGGACTACAGTGTACACCTCCCCCTTCTAGCGCAGGCTTGTTCTTTCCACCTGAACCCAAGCTCAGACCCGTGAGACTGGGGTCCGCAGCTCCGGCCCGTCCCAGCCCCCCGTCCTCCGGGCTCGCAACATGACACCGCAAATAAACACGAAAAATGTCAACCGCAGCTTCAAGATGAACTTCTCTCCCAGGGGGCCCCTCCTTGGAGCTGCATAGACATCAGGAGGGAGGGGAAGGAAGAGCAGGACTCTGGGTAGGGTCTCCAGGCCCCCAACCTCTCTTCAGATGGATGAGGGGAGACCAGGGGCTAGAGAGGGGAGTTCCGGTGTCTGCCAAAGGGGCAGATGCTGGTGGCAGGCCCAGAGTTGGCAGGGGCACAGGCTAACAGGCCACTTCCTCTGATCGGTTCCAAGTTCCAGGCTTGTCTGCCTTGGGGGCCCACAGGGCTGGGGGGTGGGAGGGTTTAGCCTAGTCTCCCAGGGCAGAGGGGACACATCAAAGGACAAGAAAGGGGGAGGACACTGCAGGCATTGATGGGGGGAAAGCACTTCTCTAGGGGTCCCTTGACTGGTGACTGTCTACATTATCCCCCCCTCCCTCCCCAGGCCCCAAGAGGAAGGGGATGGTCTGAGTCACTGCTGTCCATGGGGCTGGCACAAGCCGGCACACAGGAACACTCAGGAATTTGTGGAACTGCAGCCACTTGGGCACAGAGGGGTTAAACCCTTTGCCCACAGCCACACTGCGCTTCCTGCCCTACAGAAGTGGGGAAAAGGGCCCCTTGGCTAGGTCAGAGCAGGGCCTGTGAGACACGCCCCTCCCCCCGCGGGACTGCAGCCTGCTGCCTTCCTGCTCCTTCTCAAAGGTCAGCCTCTAAAGGACTCCGGCCCAGGCCCCGAGCCGGAGAAGTGCGGAACCTCCCCAGGCTTGACTGACAGCATTCCCAGGGCTCAGCACCCCTGCGGGGGAGGCTAAGCTGTCAGCCCCCTGCTACCTGCCGGTCCAGTGCCTCCACTTCGCCCCCTCCCCACCCACACAGCCCGATGGCCTGCAGCAGCTACTCTCGGGGCTGTCTGCCTCAGCGGCTGGAGGGGGACAGCTCTTGAGTCCTGGGTCTGTCCACCGCCCGCTGCCTACCCGATTCGGAGGGCGGGAAGGCAGCCCCTTTCGAGCCACAGCAGGCGCCAGAGCATTTCCTGGTCGGGGAGGGGGAAGGGGGGTGGCTGTGCGCTGGGCTTCCGACCACGAAGTGTGGGGGCGGGAACAGATCCCAGAACTCTCGGCCCTGAAGGGTTAATCCGGGGCAGGCCCACCCTCCTAGGCTGATGGCCGGGGCTGGACTCCCCACGTCAATCATCCACCCGGAGGTGCCAGGTCCGGCCCGCGTTGCCATGACGACCGGCTGGGGCTGCTCGCGTTTCCTGGAGACGCCGAGGTCGAGCCCGGGAGCCCAGAGGAGGGCCCCGATAGCGTGGGGGAGGCGGGCAGGGCGCCCCCCGCCCCAGTTAGAGCGGCAGGACAGGATGTGCACCCGGCTTCTACCCGCGGCCACAGGGACCCTGTCCCCGAGGCACCCGGAGCCCGCTGTGCCCGCGCCGGCTCCCCGGACGCGCCCCGCTGCCATGGTAACCGGCGCGCCCCCGAGAAGCGCGCTCACGCCTAAGTGGAGACCGCATGCTCCGCCCTCCCTGGAGGCGCTCAGAGGGGCCGCTAGACACCGGCGGGGCAGCGGGAGAGGGCAAAGAGAGCCCAAAGGACACCGGAGAGGCGCAGGGAGGGCGCTGGGGCTCAACTGGGTACAGAGAGCCCACGTGAAGTCACGCGACACACCTCCAGACACCCCTGGGGCACCAGTTCTGGCAGGACCGGGACAGGCCTACGGCACACGAGCAGTGGGACCCGATGGGAGTGAACAGCAGTGTCCCCGGCTCCCATGCACGTGCAAGGACCGTGCGTGGGGCATCTTCAGGGACATGGCGAACCCCCACCTCTCGCGGGCTGCAGCCTGGCCCTGCAGAGGCCTCCTCTCTCGTGCGGGGAACGGGGAGCAGGGGTGCCTCCACTGGGAGGTGGTGCATGGTGTACAACCCTGGCCAATCGCAGAGAGAGGTGGGGATGAGGGAGCACTGAAGGGCGGAGCGTTCGGGATGCGCGAAGGGGCCAGCTGTAGGAGCGGGTACACAAGGGGTGGGTAACTCCCCTTGAGTTGCTCCACCCCTGGACGCCAGCTGAGCCCACAGCCTGGAGCCCCCAAGCCCTCCCCGGCCTGCCCAAGACCTGAGGGGCCAGGTGGCCAAGTCTCACAGGCCAGGGCAAAGAGGGTAAAGGCAGGGCTGCCATCTGCTCCTCCAGGACAAGATGTGGCACCCCATTCACGTTACCCCCCCAGGCTCCTCTTCAGACAGGCCTCACCCCCACTCAAGGCAGAGGGAAACTGAAGCCAAAGCAATTGAGTCAGCGGCCCCAGTGGCTGAGAAGGTCAGGAAGAGTGTTCAGCGCTGGGCCTACTGCTGGGGAGGCTGGCCTTTAGCCACCCCTGGGACTCCACCTGGGCAGGCTCAGAAAGGCTGCGCTGGGAGGGGACAGGCAGTGGGGCTGGAGCTGCGGCCCTGTCTACTCTGGCTCACTGGGGCAGCACATGAGGGGAGGAGAGAAGGGCTGGCCTTGCAAAGGTGTGGGGGCTGTGGGGACCCTCAGTAGCTGGATGCAGTAGAAGGAGCCTCCCCAACCTGGTAAGTGACCATGGGCCAAGTGGAGGGCAAAGGGACCGCCCAAAAGTGGCTGAGACCCAAGGTGGAACCCCAAGGCTAGCCCACACCCTGCCCACGCCGCACCCTGGACTCACGTAGTCCTGGAAGGCCTTGGCCTCACTCGAGTGCTCGCAAGCCTCTCTGCGGTCGGGCGCGGCACAGTACAAGTCCCAGAACACGCTGTGGGCGGCAAGGGGTCGATGGTTTCCCCGGGCACCCTCACCCGGCCCCCTCCATGGCCCGCCCACGCCAACCCCACACGCACCACCACCAGGAATGCAGGAAGCCTGGGGGCTCCCCCAGTGTGATGTTCTTCTCCCATCGGATCTGCAGGGAGAGGAAAGGCAGGTGAGGGCCCGCTGCCCAGCCCTGCCTGACACCCTCCCCACCAAGGCAGCCCCCGGCCAGCACGGTGCCCAGGGACACGGGGCAGGGGACCAGTGGACCAGAGCTGGGAGCAGGTGCGACCAGGTGAGAGGAGGGACAGAGGAGTGGGTGGCAGACCCTCAGATGGATGGACAGACGCCTGGATACCAGCCTGTGGGCCCTGAGCTGCCCCAGCCCTCAGTTCCCACCCAACACCCCAATGGAGCCCCAAGGGAAACAGGGTAGGGAGGCCCCTGGCTATGGGTGGCGAAGAAGGGCTGGGCCGACTTACCTCGGACAGAAAAGTCTGGGCTGACTTCTGGGCACCGACATGCAGCAGGTACTCATACACGTACAGCGCCAACCTGCAGGTGGGTGGGCGGGCCAGGTGGGGGCTGGTTCTCAGGAGGCCTGGGGCCAGCCCTGAAGCCCCTCCCCTCGGGTGGGCAGGTAGAAAGGACAGGCAGGGGCCCACAGTGAGCCCCTCATCACACCCACCCCCAGCCTCACTTGCTGCCCCCAGCCGGTCCCCCAATACCCCCTCATCTCTCCCACCCCTCACAGGAGGTGGCCTCCTCACCAGTTGCTCCACCTGATCAACTCCTACACATCCATCAACACCCAGCCTGCAGGCCCCTCCTCTAGGCAGCACTCCTAGCAGTCCTGGACCCCCTAATTCCAAGCTAAATTCTGCTTAGTTCAACAGCCCATCATGGACCAAGTTCTGGGCCATCCTGCCGATGCCCAGATCCCAGAGCAGCCTTGGGCCCAGGGAGGTCTACCCAGGGACAGGGCTCCTGGGCATCATTCCAGGCTGTGCATTGGGTGGGGTCTCCCCAAGGGCACCCTGGACTGTGTGGCCAGGGCCCAGTACCTCACTCACTCCCAGCCTTGCCTGCTGAGGAAGGAAAAGGGCCCTCTGCCCTTTCCAGGTGTCCCTGGATCCCATCCTCTTCCTTGGGATCAGTGCCCATCCACCAGGAGTGGCCAGGACCTCTCCATGTCAGCCGCCCAAGGGAAGTCTGGGCAAGCGGGGGGTGGGTGAGAAGAGGCAGGGCCAGCAGTGCCACTTGGGAGCGACAGCACCACTTCGCCCAAAGACCCTCTGTGCCTGGTACCCCTGGACACGCCACTTCGGCCACTGCCCATCCCAAGAGCACGGGCCACCCTCCAACCAGCAGTGCCCTCCGCAGCCACACAGGGAGGCTGGCCTGTGTATACTACTTTCCAGGCCTCTCCATCCTTGATCTCCTCCCCCCGTTGGTCTTCCACACAGGCCAGCAGATGGACAACTCCCTGCCACCCTGGCTCAACCATTCCCCAGCCATCCACTCCACAGTACCAGCCCCTCTGGGCACCCCTGGGTCTTCCTGCTGCCCAGCCAAGGTCAGGTGGGCTGGAGAGGGGTCTGCATCCAGGACTGGGGGCTCCCCAAGGACAAGCCTGAGGCTGTGCCTCCACTGAAGGCCCTGGAGGCCCTTCCAGACGCCTCAGCACTCAGCTGGCTGCCCTGCCCTGGCTGCAGGCCCATCCTAAAATAACCCTGCTTTGACTCACGCTGCTGCCCTCTCCCTCCCTTCCCCCCAGGGGCGGCCCCACCCGCACATCCCAGCCCCCATCAGACCACCCCCCAGCGCCCAGCTAGACCTCACCAGGGCACTCCCCACCCCACGCCCCAGCTTCTGCCCTAGCCCTGGGTCCTCTCCTTACTTCAACCATCCATCCATCCATGCTTTCATTCATTCATTCCACGTCCCCCAGGGCCCCTTTGTGCAGTGAGCAGAATAGACTCCTGTCCCCCTACAGCCACTGCTCATGGGGAGAGACACAAAGAAGGTCATTACATCGCGGGATGGAAAGCAGCGTGTGCTACGGAAGGACAAGGGGCCGTGGGGCTGGGGGAGGCAGCCATCTCAGGACTATGCGTGTCTATGCTCACACCGCTCCACTTGAGCTGTGACGGCCACCCGAGGGACAGGGACAGGGCACAGAGGGGGAGGAGCTGGGGTGATCACGCAGTTCTGAGCGTGGCTTCCCCCAAGACTGGCCACATCATCACCCCCCCCTCGGCAGCACCTCCACCCAGGACCCCCGATCCTGACAGTGCACCACCCAGCAGTCTCCAGTCACCAGCATCTGCACTTCTCCAGCCCAGTCGGCCCCCCAGACCCCTGGCCTCTAGGCTCACCTGTCCAACCCACTCCTGTGACCACTTTCCTTTCTAGAAGCTTCCTGAGCCTTCACAAGTGGCCTGCGTCCACCAAACCCACGTCCATCATGAATGTGAACAGCCAAGGGGCCAGAGCAGACCGAGGGGAGAGGCTGAGAGGGGGCCGGCGGGCCCCCGCCCCCTTGGGGCGCAGGGAGCAGGGAAGGCTGGGGCCGCTGAGAGGCCTGGAGACAGGGAGCAAGTTGAGTGGGAGGATCCAGGTGGGCTGCCCCAGGAGGGGAGGACACCCGGTAGGGAGGGCATTCTGGACCCTGCCAGGGGCAGAAGGTGCTCCTCAGGGCTCAGGGAGCCTCCTGAAGAACAGGCCCTTGGATCCCACCATGTCTCCCAATGCTCGACGCTGCCAGCCCAGCAGGTCCGTCTCCATCTCCCTTGCCCTTGACTGTTAGGTGGTGGCGTGTGACCCAGGACGCAGGTCCGGGAGCCAGCCCTGCCCACGCTTCTCCCGCTCCGCCGTCTAGCCCGGCCCAGCTCTGCTCTGGGCCCTCTCCTCTCCAGCTCTGATGACATCCTCATGCAGCTGCCCACAGGGTCCTCAGCGTGGCCTCCCAGAACTCTGGGTCCACCATCCATGTGACAGGGAAAGGCCCTGCCTTGACGTGCGACCCCCCCAGCTTCCTCCTCCCCACCCGTCCTTCGCCCCCCAAATGACCCGACCTTGACTCTCACAGGTGTGTGCAGGCGTGTGGATCCACCAGCTGTCCCGAGATCACAGCACTTACTGAAAGTAGGGAAACTTCAGGAGCAAGCTCCCTGTGGACGGAGAGCCCTCTCCCCTGCCCCCATGGCACACCCGTTCCAAGCTCACCACCTCTTGCCTGGGTCCGGACAGGGCCCCTCCAGGGGCTGCTCTCTTCCTAGCCCCTAGAGTCTACATCCCCACTCCCCACAGCACTCCTTGCTCACACCCTCCAGGGTCCCCCCCACACTGGCCACCCTCCACCCCAGGACCTTTGCACAGGCTGTTCCCCAGCCTGGGGCACATCTGCCCAGAGACCCTCATGGCTCTATGTCACCTTCAGAGGCTTCGCTGCCACATCCAACCCTCGTTCTGCCCTATCATCTTACTTATCTCTATCTGACGTGCATCTCTGCTCTCTGCCTGCAGCCCCCACTGGAATGTAGCTGTGGGAGGCCAGGAACTCTCCTTGCAACAGAGCCGGGCATCCTGGCCTCCCCGCACCCCCGCCACCCGGGATGAACAAACCAATGCCCAACCCCCACCCCTGGGGACGTCAGAGAATTAACCGAGGTGGTCTAGTCAGCACTCATCATTTCCATGTGAAGGATTTGGGATTTCATCCCAAGAGCAAAAGAAGCTAGAAAAGGTTTTCAGGTTGCTGATTTCTCTTAATGTTGTACTTTAATTTTTGCCAGGATCAAGTCTCAGGAAAGAACTGTGGGCTGTTTTTTTTTTAATTTTCAGTGAAGCCTTGTGAAGCCTGGACGTTTGGCGTGGTGGTTTGGGGACCTGCAGGGCCCTCCCTCATGGAAGGCATCCGCTTGGGATGCCACTGGGCTCTGCATCCGCATCGCCTCCAAATCCTGGCGTCACCCCTGCCCCCGCCCGGGGGTGACCTACCGAACAAAGAGCCTGCCCATCGGAGGGGCTCCCACAAGAGGGCAGGGGTGGAAGGGAGCGTGCGGCAGCCCCAGGGAGGCCTTCCCTCCAGAAGGAATGTGTGACCTGGAGGATCCGGGCTGCTCGCGGCAAGAAGCACACACGGAGCGCGCAGGGAACAGGTGACACAATGAGATGTCAGAGCCTCCTGGACTCCAATGTGGCACTCCACCTTCATTATCGAGAAGTACCATGACTACCAAGAGTTACGGTAACAAGTGCTCCCTGCCCGCACCCTCCTCCCCCTTAAAGCCCCTGGAGCAATGCTGCTGGGGCTGGAGCCACCCCCACTCACCTCTACCCCTACTCACCTCTACTCAGGGCCTCGCAGCAGCCCTCGCCTCGGTCTAATCCATCACCAGATCCCAGTGATGCCCCAAAGGGACTCGCCAACTCTCACATTTCCCCCTCCCCTCTGCCACCCTCCTCGCTGGCCTCCGGCAGCCTCCATGCTTTCCTCCCACAGCCCCTCTCCCACCTGGCGGCCTGAGTGATGACCCCACTCTCAAGCTCCACCCTGGCCCCTGGGCAGGTCCTCCTCCTCCAGGCTCCTCCCAGAGCGGCCCCTCCTCAAGCCCTTCCCTGGGGCTCCCCTGTGCCCGGCAGCTCCGCTCAGCCTCCAGGACTCAGTGTGGGGATGCCTTCTCAGGAACCGCTTACCCGCGTGCCCTGAACAAGGAGGCCATGGCCACACCTGCAAGCCCAGCCAGGGACTGCCGGACACATCCACTGCCTCGCCTACTCGGCTAGTGAACACTCCACCCTACCCGGGGCAGCGTGCTCTCTCACACCAGTCCTGGGGGAGCATGAGGCGCCGTGCCCCAGGCGCAGCCGTCACTCATGGCACAGCTCTCAACCCACCACGCAGCCCTCACGGTGTTCCAGGGTGCACACACACAGCAAACGGCCAGACCTCGCCCCAAGTCCAGGACGGAAGCCTCTGGGGCCAAAGAGGGAGGGATACAAAGGGACAAAGGGGCCTTCAACTGCCCCAGTCACCTTCGTCCCCTTATTAAAAAAAACCGGAAACCAAGGACCACACGCAAGCGCTCCTGGGCTCCCCTGAGGTTGGGAGTGTTTATCGTTTACAGAAGGAGAGACTGTGTCTTCCCGCGGGCAGCCCACCGGACCTCAGCCTCCCTCTCGCCTGCCCTGCCCCCTCATCGCTGACCTCCCCTGCGGGCTCTGCAGTCACCAGTGCTCGCTGCCAGCCCCCAAGGGCAGGGACCCAGCAGGCGCTAGATGTGTTTCTGGGGTAGGCTGGCCCAGACCTAATGTTAAGATGGAGAGCCACACGGGACTCAGGACAGGGGCCCAAAGGAAGGAGAGGAAGGGCAGGAGGAGGCAGAAGCGGGGGAGGAAGATGCAATCCCGGAGAGTCGGGGACCTGAGCAGGGTAACCCCCTCTCCCCATCTCACAGAGAAGGAAACCGAGGCCAGAGACAGGAAGTGGCTCGGTGGGTGGCTGTCTGTGCAGGGGCACCATGGGCAGCCTCTCACCCAGTCCTCAGGAGAATCCTGCTTGTCCACGTTTCAGATGAGGAAACTGAGGCTCAGAGCACCGAGCCGCCCCTCCAGCGTCTCGGCCCCCATGGTTCTGAGAGCTCTCCCATGCCCCAGAACCTGAGACCTCAGCACGGGGCTTCTGCTCCAGGGCCCGGCCTCCCGATCAGGGAAATGGGGGATGTGAGCATCTGGTGTTTTCCAAACTTTCGGCAGCAGCAGAACCCCATCTCCAAACCAACAGTTATACAGACCCTCTACGAGAAACAGATGCGCGCAGGAAGGCTTCGGCCAAAAACGGGACCGGAGAACAGAGGGCGTGATGGAAACTCGGCCTCCACGTGAGGGGTCTGCAGACCCAGCACCCTCTGAGAAGCTCTGCCGAGCAGGCCAGGGAAAGGGGCCGATGGGGGAAGGGGCCAGGGATTCCGATAACCCTCTCTTCCAGCCCTGGCCAAGAGCTGAGGCCAAGTTCAAAGAATCAGAATTTCTCCAAACTCAATTCCAGACACCCCCCAGCCCCTGCCCATGGCTCACACCTATTATTCCCTCCCTTCTCTTATCTCCATGACCACCACCTGAACTGCCATCACCCACTCTCTCCCCCAGTAACTGTGCCCACCTCCCCCAGGCCCTCCTGGCCCTCTACTCCCAACCCCCATAAGCCCCGCGCCACACAGGAGCTGGAGTGCCCTTTCCCTTCTCCGATCTGCGGCTCCAGGTCTCCAGCCCCAGCTCCTTGGCCTGGCCTCACCCCAGGGCCTTTGCACTTGCTGTGCCCTCAGCTGCCTGCTCTTCCTCCAGGTTTCTGTACACCTGACACCCCTCACACTTCACTGTCACCCAATCTCCCACTCTCCCACTTTGCTTTCTTCACATGACATCCCAAGAGCGTCCCGTTGGCTTGCTGGATGACTCGACACCTCCCTCCCTGCTGGGATGTGGGCTTCTTTAGGGCTGCAGCCTGCCTAACGGGACATCCGCACCCCAGGACACAGCCTACCACGTCTGCTGAACAAGTGAACAATTCCCACTGAGAGAGTGGTAGCCCGCAGACCCAGCAGCCAGGGCACAAGGATGGCCAGGGAAATGCAAGGATCCCCAGGGATGGGGTGGCCATGCCAGATACTCCCTGCTTCCAACCTGGACAGGAGTTAGTGCCGGTTTTTAAAAGTCTTCCTGCTTAATGGTGCTGGGGAATGGGGCCCAACCTCATAACCTTGCGGGTGGACAAAAATGGGCTGGAGGAGCAGTCATCTGCCTAGTACCTTCCGGCCACAAGGATCTTTTCTCTAAGATGACCGCGAGGCTGGGTAGAGAATGGACACACGACCTTGTGGAGCAGAGCCAGGGGTCCTGCTGTCAGCCCAAACAGAAGAGGCGGGACAGCAGAGGGGGGCACTCAGCCCTCGTCCAAGGCTCCTTTCACTGCCCAGAAGTTCACGTCCTCACCCCCGTCCTGGCCCTCAAGGGAGGTCATCATGGGATCTCTCCCCGATGACCCAGGCTCCTCTCTGCTCCAGCAGCCGGTTTCCCACCCCAGGCCACCCGACGTGGCTCGACTTCTAGGATCCTGCGAATCAACCACTGCTATCAGCCATCGGAAGCCTTGCCTGTGGCAGGCCTTTCTCCCTCGACACCAACAATACTGCAAGCCCTTCGCTGCCCTTGCTGTGGGACGCTCACAGCTCCAAGCACCTTTCAAATGCTCCTCAAAGCTAAGAGATGGCGCTGTTATGTCTGCTCTCCTCAGGAAAGGTAAGCGAGCCTAGGAGACGGGGCCCCCTCCCCCAAAGCCAAGGAGCAGGGAAGAGGCAGTGCCGCAAGGCAAGCGGGTCGGCCGGGTTTCAGGCTGCCGGCTCGGCTTGGAGCGCCGCCGGCTCTGGGAACTAGGTACCTGTGCCCCCGGCGGCCGGAGAGCATCAGCCGCCCCCCGCCAGCGCCAGGCCCAGAGCAAGTGGGGGCCCCGCCCCGCTCCCCACTGCCCCGGCCGGCGGGACAGGTGGCCTCGCGAGGGTGGGGCCGGCGTCCCTCAGGCCCTCCTCTCCCCTCTCTAGCTCTTCCCCAGGCGCAGGGGGTCCCCCGAGGCTCCAGGCTCGCCGGCCTGGGAAACTTCCCTGGAGAACGCGGAGAACCGCGGGGACCACGACCGTCGGGGAGGTCTCGCGACCCTCGAGTCCCCTCGGATCTCGCGCGCCCCCTGAAATCTCGCGCCCTCGAGTCTCGCGCGCCCCCGCAAATCTCGCGACCCTCGAGCCGCTCAGGTCTCTCACGCCGCCCGAGTCTCGCGCGCCCCCTCAAATCTCGCGCCCCTTGAACACAACCTCTCGGGTCTCGCGCGCCCCCTCGAGCCTCACGACTCCTTGCGCTCCTCACGCCCTCTGACTCTCGTGCGCCCCCTCAAATGTCGCACCCCCTTAAGCCCCTCACGCCCCTCGGTTCGAGCGCGCTCCCACATACCTCGCGACGCCTCGCGCCCCTCTGGTCTCGCGCGCCCCCGCAAATCTCGCGACCCCTCGAGCGCGCTCGGGCACCGCGCGTCCTGCACCCCGCACCCACGTGCCCGGCGCGGTGCCCGCCGGCGTTGGGACCCACGGAAGCCGCGCGGCCGCCGAGCCCCGCCCCCGGCCCGGGCCCCCCGACTCACTTCTCGCGGGCCTGGCTGTCGGAGGGCACAGCCGAGCCCTTGCCCCCCTTGGCGTACATGCTGCTCCGCGCCGCCGCCGCCGCCGGGGCCCACACCTGTCAGGCGGCGCCGCGGGCCGCGCTCGCGGTCGCCATAGCTACCCCGCGCCCCGGGCCTCACCGCCCCGAGCCCCGCTCGGGCGCCGCGGGCATCGTCCGCGCGGGGGAGCTCCAGACGGCCGAGGCGGCGGCGGCGGCAGCTCCAGCTTCGGCTCCGGCCGCGGGTTTTATTTTCTTCCTCTCTTTCCTCTGCGCGGGCTGTTCCGGGAAGCGCGCGCCCCCTCCTCCCGCCGCGCGCGCCCCCGCCCGCCGCCTCCCCGCCGCCCGCGGGCGCCGCTCTTAAAGGGGCGATGGCGGGCGCGCGGGTGGGTCCCGCCGCCGGGATCGTGGGCCGGGCGCGCACGCGCAGTGCTCCCGCGGGGGAGGCGGCGCGGGGACGGGTACATACACGCAGGGCACGAGTGGGGATGGCCACCAGGGTCACACAGCGGGACACAGCTGATCACGGCCACACACACACGCCCCAGATAGGACCAGCCACCTAAATGGTGCATCCAGGTACACAGCCACACACTTCGTTGCAGCTACACCTTAGGCACAGGACTCTGCACACATAAGTCCGCCCAGCTACTGGAACCACTGTGACAATTCCATAAAGCTACAGGCAGTCACACTGGGCGTATCACTCCGCAGAGCTACCCACACACAGCACGGGTGGAACCGCCACACACACAGCTGGAGCGGGGACACGTTGTCATACACAGGATACACAGCTCAAATAGTGGCTGTCACAGCAAAACCCACAGACCACCACTGGCAGCGGCACAGAGCCGCACAGAGACACGCATAGGCGCAGCTATGCTACAGCTTCTGACAGCCGTGGAAAGAGCCTACGCAGCTACTCGCGGTCACCCTGGGCACACTGTCACAGCCTCCCCGGGGCTCCACACACGGACCCGGGGAGTCACGGAGCCACAGATGACAGCGTCACACTCACACATCCTCTGGACACCCACAGCCAAACACACCACACAGACACACAATACACAAGAAGCTCCTTGGGGTACTCAGGCCACACCCTGGGAGCCGCCCTGCACTGCCCCATAGTCACACCCTGTGTCAACAGTTGGAACTGGCGGCGACTGTTTGTTGACTGACTGAGTCATTCCCGCTCGCTCGGTTTCTCAGACTCAGTGTTGCCAACTGTAATTGGGGTGCATTGAAACCTTTAATTGCCCCTCTGCAGGTATCGGGTACAGGCAGTGAGTACCCCATTCCCCATCCTAGGGCCCTTCTGCCCCCAGGGGTGTGCCCCCACCTCCTCTGCACGACCGCGAGTGTGTTTCTGTGTGTGTAAACACGCGGTTCCTATGTGAGTGCACGTGTGCGTTGTTGTGCGTGGGGGGTTGGCAGGCACCGAGTGAACGGTCGCCGTCCTGCAACTGTCCGTGGCTCTGCGGAAGTGGTTGTGTGTCCGTGGCGGTTCTGCAGGACCGAGTGGCGCAGCGCCAGGCTGTGTGCACAAGTGTGTGAATGTGCGTGTGCCTTCGCGCGTGGGTGGATTGCGGGCTCCTGTGTTGTGTGGTTGTGGGCTCAGGTTTCCTGTGTCGTTGTGTCTTGATGCGAGCGCCCCCTCTCGCAGCCGGCAGACCCCCCCATCACGCCTCTCTCCTAGAGGCCGCACCCCCAGTACAAGTCCCCCTTTCCCCAGGCCTTCCGGCCGGCTGGAAGTCGGGAGCGGCTGGGGTTCCAGACAGGCGAAGAGGAAGGGAAGGGCCGGGCTGGCCTCAGCCCCGCCTCCATCCCGAGGGGCCCCGGCCGGGGACGGGGGGGAAGCCAGCCCTTCCCACTTCCTGTCCAGGCGGCCGTCCCCTCCCCCAGCTTCCTCTCCCGCGGGCCTCCCCGGCCCCCGCGGCGCTCGGGTGGGGGCGCGGCCGGCACGCTTGCCTCGGGCCTCGAGCTGACGTCTGCCCCGTGCCCCGCGGGCCGTCGGGGGGTGGGGGCGTCAAGGACACCCTCATCGTAATACCTGCTCCCACCGCTGCTCTCCAGCGCCTACTGCCAACGAGGCAGAGAGGGTGTGACTCAACCCAAGTCACACAGCGTATTGGTGACAGCTGTGACTCCCGGGCCCTGCAGCTATTTCTCCCGCCACTCCAGGCGCCCCCCATTTATCTCCCAATGCTCCCCGGGATTCTGTGTGCCCTGGGCGGGTCCCTTGCCCTCTCTGAGCCGCGCTTCCTTGAGTCGATGTGAGTCTTCATTCTCTCCACAAACACTGAGCGCCCGCCGTGTGCGGGGCTCCGGGGACGTTGTTACCGCTTGTGGAGCAGGGGGTCTGATGGGGAAGGCGGACCGTCAAAAGCTGGCGAATCAGTAGGATAATTTCAGAGAGTGCCACGTGCTGGGCAGAGGGAGGAGTCGCCGGTGGAGAGGACGGAGCGACAGCAGGGTCTGCCGGGCTCCCGGAGGAGGGCGGAGGCGGAGAGAGGGAGGGCGGGACGCAGAGGCGCCCGCTGCCCCGCGAGCTGCGAAGGGGGGAGGCGAAGCGGGTGGGAGCGACGAGCGCGGTTCTCATGGTAACCGGGACGGATCTCCAAACACAGCCTCGGCGTCGGCGGGAAGTCCGAGAAGAGCGAGCTCTGGGCCCCACGCGGCGTCCGGGGAAACCGAGCAGCGCGCACTTCCAACCCGGGCGCCCGCCCTGCAGGAGGAGAACCCACAGAGAGAACGCCCCCAGCCATATGAGGGTGGGGCATGGGGGGAAAGGAAAATTGCTTAATAAGGGGAAGGGTGGATCCCAAAGATCTGCAAGCAGAATGTTCAGACTGCAGTCACCCAAGTGTAAAGGCCCTGAGGTGGGCACACAGTTAAGGTATTTGAGGCAGAGTGAGGAGGGCAGTGTGGCTGGAGCAGGGAGATGATGGCTAGGAGGGTAGAGGGGCCAGACCACTCCTGGCGGGTACGGGTTGGGATTTGTTCTAAGAGCAATAGGGAGCCATGGGACGGTGTGGAGCCACAAGGGACGAGATCCGCGTCGGGACTCTAAGAAGAAGCTACATGGGGCGGCCAGGTAGATCTGGTTGGCGTGGAGGAGGCAGGGCGGTTGCCCCAGGGAGAGGCCCGTGTAGACAAGGGTCGTGGGCCAGGGCAGTCCTGGTAATTGATTGAGGGGCCTGGGTGTGTGTGTTGGGGGGCGGGGGCAAGCGAGGAGGGCTAAGGCTGGATTCCGGATCTGCGACGCCTTCGCCGGCTTCCGGTCGCCCCCATGTGGCTGCGCGGGGACTACAGCTCTGAGCTGGGGCTCGTCCTCTTTGGGACTGCCCATGCCCCGCAAACCCCAAGCCCGTGGGGCCGGGGGAGACGCCTGGGGGAGCCCGAAGCAGGCTCTGCTTGTAGGGCAGAAGAGCTGCCTGGAGGAGGGGCTGTGCCTCCCCTCACTCACTCCCTTCCTGCCCTTGCATTCTTCAGACCCACCCTCTCAGGCTCACCTCCCGGCCTTTGCGCTGGCTCTTCCTGCCGCCCGGAGCTCTTTCTCTGGCTCCAGGCCCGGCCTATTCTGGCTCCTCCTTCGCCTTTGGTCCCAATAGCTCCTTCTCCTGCTCCCCCTACTCTTTCTCCTTCTCCTCTCCCTCCGCCTTCTCCTCGCCTTCCCTAGCCATCTCCCCCAGATTATCGGTTCAGCACGTGGGACCTGTCATTGTTAAGAGAAAATAATGCACCAAGTCGTCTGTGGGCAGCCTCTGCCTCCCGGCGGATCGGCCCTTTCCCGGGACACCGTGGTGGGTGCCCACGAAAATGGTGCAGGAGTTGTGGGGGAGGCTGTTCTGGGTTTTCCTAAAGATGGCTTTCCGTCTCCACAGGAGGTGGAGGCAGTCCCTCCCTCCTCATTTAAGTGGGGCGCTTTGGGAGGGGCCAGGGCCGGGCGGCCCCTGCAGCCCCTCGACAGCCAGCCCCTCGGCAGCCTTGTGCGAGGCGGCCAGAGCTGGGGGCAGGCCCCGCACCCAGAGGCGGCTCCTCTCCGAAGCTGTAATTATGGGTAATTTTCTAACTGCAACACAAAAATTAAAACCCAAACAACACCGGGAGGGGAGAAGCCACAGCAGCTGGCGAGCACCCGGGCAGCTGGGGCGCGGGTGGGGTTCCAGCCCAGGCCAGGTGGGAGGAGCCCGGGCCCCAGCCCCTGGGTGCTGGGGGCGAAGGGGCGGGGGCAGAGGGTCGTTCAAACAGGCTGGCCTCCTTGCAGAGCCAGCAACCCATTGGAGTCTCGGGTTTCTGAAATGGGGATTATACCCCCAAACCGATCACCTGGAGGCGGAAGTCCCCGGATGGAGGATCTGGGCCTGGCTTTAAAGCCCGGCTGTGCCGAGTCCGCCGTGTAGCCCTGAACGGGAACCGCCTGAACCTCGGCAGAGCCGTGAGGAACTCCCAGCGAGAGCAGGGACCCAGGAGGACTGGGCGGAGGAGCGGCGGCGGAACGGCTAGCTTCCCACACCAGCCCCGCATCCACCGGCCGCCAAGCGCAACCCAACCCCGGCCAGTACCCTGCCGCGCTCCCAGCGCCTTCAGCGGCTCCACTGCCCGCCGGTCACGTCCCCGCCCCTGCGCCCTGCGCCCGAGCTGCAGTGAGACGCGTGCTGAGGAGCTGGCCGCCCAGCTCCAGACCCGACCACCCCGTGGGATTCTCCCAGCAGCCTCACGAAGGAGCCAGAACTTCTCCCCATGTTACAGGATGGGGAAACTGAGGCTCGAGAGGCACGGAGAGAGTCCCATGGGCGCCCTGGAGGCAGCACCCCACCCACTGGAGTGCCCCAGCACCCAGTCTGGGCCTGGGATACTCACTCTGGGAAACTGAAAGCATTCTGAGGAAACCTCAGGCCTGGGGAGGACAGGGAAGGGAGGAATGGGAGAGAGGGAGCCAATAGCTACAGAGAAAGTTCTGCAGGTAAAACTGAGGCTCAGGGCAGGGAAGCAACTCGCCCAACGACACACAGCAGAGAGTGGAGGCACCAGGTCCCAATTTGGGGTGCACTGGCAATGTCCCTCCCTCACGTCCTCCAGAGCGCCAGCCTCTCTTCTTGTGGTGGAGGACAGAGTTTCCATGGCACCCTAAGGTCCTACTCTGGCTGGTAGAGGGGGAAGGGTCTTTTCCTGCCTTCAGCTTAATAACAACACTGGGGAGTGGATGCTTGCTAAGCACTGGAAACTGAGCCCTTCTTGGCCATGATCCTTTTGCATGCACCCAGAGCATTCCCACCTCAGGGCCTTTACACAGGCTGTTGTTCCTGCCTGGGA